TCTATCTTTGTATTTTATTTTATTATTTTTCTTTATTTATCTCAAAAATAAGATTATAAAAATCATATAAAAATTTGCATAAAATTACATAATTAACCAAAAAATTACATTAATCAACTAAAAATCACTTTTCATATTTTAACTTAAATATAATTTTATTTATCATGAGTTAAGGCAAAAATTATATTATTAATTAATTATTAACACATGATAATGAAGATATTTTTGACGATATTTTTATGGATGATCTAGTGATTTTGATGACTCAATTGTTGATCTACGCTCGACAGAAAAATCATAATTTAATCAGTTAAAAATATAGATTTTGGCTCTAGTGGGATTCAAACACTCCGATTACTTTAATACGTAGAGAGAGTATGTGAATTACTCACATACCCTTGCCCAATGATGTCATAGAGGTGTCTTTTTATAATATAGGTGTATTTTAGGTACAAAAATATTAAAAACTTGTTAGTGAGTATTGACATGGGTTTAGTCTCACATCAATTGTTTTTCAATGTCTTAGATACATGTATGTCTCTACCTCCTTTTGTCTTCAATATACCTCTTTCACATACCCATGTGTGTATGACCATTCTTTTCCCCATGCTTGATTGGCCCTTGATGATGTGGAAGGGGAGTGACACACACATGTCATGATTGGTCATTAACTACTCAAGCCCCCAGCTCTCGCTCCCCTGAATATGCTTCTAACCCATATTTGGGTCTAGGTTGGCCATCGAGTCCTCCCTCTCTTTCTATTTTTTTTAATTTTATCACAAAAACATGACTATAAAAATTATATAAAATCACATAATTAACTAAAAAATCATATTAATAAACTAAAAACTCATTTTCTTGATTTAACATAAATCTATTATTAATTAATTATTAATTCATGATAATGAATACTTATTACCCTCACTTTACTCATTAGACTGTGGTTCTTCATATTCTTTGTTAACTTTGTGGCACTTAGGCTTTTCATTCTTCATCATCTCTTTGTGCTTACATTAATGTTGATTGGACTGGTGATCACAATGATCGTGAATGTATTACTAGTTGTACATATTTCTTGGAAAAGTAAGAAACAAGATGTTATTGCTCATTTGAATATTGAGCTGAGACATCTATAACAACATAAATTATTTGGCTTTATTAGCTTTTTGGCAATAGGAGCATTATCACATGTTACTCTTACTCATTTCAATTGTGGTAACAAGAGTGTAGTTCAAATTATTCATAATTTTTTTTCTATGAATCCACAAAATATATTGAGATTGGTTGTCACTTTATTCATTATCATCTTCAACTTGTCATGCTTATATTACGTTTTGTTTGATTGTCTCTACAATTGACTAATTTCTTTATGAAGTCTCGTACTATCTCACATTGTTAGTTTCACAGTTTGGAGGGGGGGTTATTGTAATAGATTTGTTAGTGTGATAAGCCAATTATGGGCTGTTATGTTAACCTATTATCCAGCTTATAAATAGAGAATTATCGAACTCGTTCCATGTGGATGATTTGCCCCGTTGTTCATTTGTTTCAACAGCTCCCTTTTCCTCTCTTATGGATATCATTGTCCTCTCCTTCTTCCTTCTCTTCTTTCTTTGTTTTCATAACATACAAGTTTATCTCACCAGGAAGAACATATTAAAAGGAAGAGAAATAGAAATCACATATTCACAAACCTACAACATAGGTTGACAAAAAAAAATCCAAGAGAAATCACGAGATGATGGTCATGTACACCTAGATCTTGATAAACATCAACAAAGAATGATGAGCTCTTCCATCTCCCCCACCAAGAAGCATCAAAATGTGACCTGTCTATAGTGATCCAATAGGTGTAGGCAACCTCCACATTAAACCCCAGATCCATGACATAGAACATGAAGAATAGTATGAAGTCAGTGCTAGAGCCACATGGTCTCACATAAAACCCCTATTCTCATCACAGCCACCCCCATGGAGTAAACATCCGGGCAGGATTCCTGTGGGCGGAAAAGTATTCGGCAAATGGGTACTACGTGGAGGCCAGCAGAGCGTGGTGCCACCTTCTAGATTTTCTCTTCCGCTGACGACTGATGGCGTTGACCAGCAGGTCAACGGTGAGCTGCCATGCCGGAGGGGACTAAACAGTTCATGGGCCGGCCCAAAGATTCGATTTTGATCGGACACTGGCCAGGAGGAGGAGCCCCGACGGACAAAACGGACACAGTCCCAGGCAAATCTCCTCCCGATGGGCCACACGCACAGCCCGTATGGACCTTTCCAAATCTGTGGCCCTTATGGACCAGAAACCTAGCATACGACCGAGCAGCCCAACGAATGAAGACCTTGCTGCCCGAAAAGCATGCCTATTTATGGGGCTATGAACCCATAAGAATCTAAGCATTCAGCCTTATTCTAGTGCTTGATTATATCTAGCTCGAACAGCTACTGCTGTACTTCCTATGAAAAATAAAAATCAGACCTTTCTTGGGCAACTTGCACAACAATCGTCTATATTAATTAGCATCCTCAAAGAGTAGAGATGAAGTATCCTAGAACTGTAGACAGGCTTCTATGGGCAAAGTCTCAGCTTGCACCCAAGGAGTTTAGTCTCTTAAAGCATGTCAAAAGCATAATTTTACTAGGTCATGATGAGCTTCCTATCTAGGTATGTAAACTCAATCTTAAGAAAATATCTTGGAGTCCCCAAGTCACGGATGTTGAGATGTTGTTGCAAATAAACTTTGGTCAAATAAATGTTGGCCTCATTACTCCTAGTCATAAGAATGTTGATGATGTAAACTACAAGAATGACTAGGCCGCCCTCAATCTTCTTTGTGAGTATAGTGAGATCTACAACACATGATGAGAAGTCAAATGTGGTGAGAAGACTATTAAACTTGGTTAACCAAACATGTAGACTCTACTTGAGCTTGCAAATCACCTTTTATAAGGAACACACGTTAGATGACTCCCCTTAAGTAACATATCCTAGAGGTTGCTCCATGAAGACTTGCTCCTCGAGATCACTATAGAGAAAGGGGTTAGAAACATCTAATTAGTAGAGAGATCATGCCTAATTTACGACGAGAGAGAAGAACACTCAGATAGAAGCGAGTTGGATGACTAATAACATGATATTTGTGTTGATTATTCCTTATATTTTATGTGATTTTTTTTATTTAAATCTTAAAAATATCATATTATTAATAGAATTATTTAAATATTCATAGATTTGCATTAATTTCACTATTTGCACACATGAATTTTACATGATTTTGACTAACCCTACTCGACTTCTATGAAGTCAATTAGTTTTATTACTAACAAATATTTTCAAGTTTTCATGCGTGCAAAATTTAATTAATAGAAATCAACAATAAATTAGGAGCACTTTAGTGGATGAAAGTTACTTAATGGGCTAGGAGTACTTTCAAGGAATTTAGGTTCTGAAGCTTAAAAGAGAATCAGAGGAGGTTTTGGGTCCATGTCCAGGCCCATTTAGACCTTCCTAAATCCATTCTAGAGGAAGAGATTTCGAAATTCTTGGAGAGAGATTAGGGAATTATGAAGGGGCATTTTAGTCATACTTGTCCCTATATAAAAACTCTTCTCTTCTCTCTCTCTTGAGTCATTCTGAACGTGCTCTAGCAAGAGGCTGGCCAGTAGGACAAGGTTCTCCAAGGTCCAAGGATTCTCCTTGCTTGGTGTCAATAGCTTCAGTGTCGGCAGTCCTAGTATCCGTCGTCGGATTCGTAGCCTTGGGTAGCTAGAGTGGGATATTTGCCGTCTGATTCGAAGTCCTCGCAGCGAATATGATACCCTCCTCCCAGCGATCTCTCAAAAAACCACCGAGAAATGATCCTATGGGCGCCCATGGTTTTTGAGAAAAAAAAATATTTCGGAGATTATGGACAAGAAAGGGAGCGAGAGACCTGCTTAAACGACACCAGCGGACCGTCACCGGTCTTCTTCCCGCGCTGGCGGAGAAAACCGGTTCAGGCAGGGTCCATCATTTTCGGAGCCTTCTCCGTCAGAGGGCCTTCCCTCGCCGTAGCCCCGGCGGGCATCGGCGCAGGGGAGGGCCTGCTTCGCCATGAGCTCCACAGTGAGGCGCACAGATGATTGACGGCGAGCAAGGAGAGGGCGTGGAAAAGCAACTCGCGAGTAGATTCTACCTACTGAATTCACCGTGCGTGCGTATCGCCTCGCACAGGCTACTTTGATCTCGTTTTCGTTGGTGTGGGCCCACTTGAGGCGGCGGGCAACGTCGGGATCTGGGAGGGGTCTCTCCCTCCCTTGGGAGAAAGAAGATGGCGCTCCCTTTCGGTCCTTTTGGCATCGTCTTGGACGTCAATGGGGTTGTTCTCAGAGCTTCCTCCACTCCTATTCACTCGGTTCTAGCCAGGAGCTGGAAAAGGCCTTACACCGGCGACGGTGCAGGGTCGGCCTACCGTTAAACTTTCTTTCTCTCAAGACCTAAATGAAATAATCAAAAGCTCTATATTCTTCTCCTCTCACGAAGCCCAACTTCTCCACTACCCCCACCTCTCATAACTCTCCACAGCTCTCACTCACCTTCTCCCATGCCCCTGCCATTTAAATAGGGTAAGAGGAGGGAGGGGAAGAAGGATAGGGAGCCCGTTATAACGGCTGTGCCTTTATAATTCCTCATCTTCTCCATTGGGCCTTTGTAACGGCCCAACTAGTTCCAACGAGTCAATAAAGATCAGAGAGGCAGCTGGTAAGTGGCCGATACACATAACCATTAGTTATAAAAGAGACACGATGGTTGTAAAATGACCCCGCGAGAGTCAGACGGGATGCGCAGCCCGGATCCCCTCCGTCCAACCCTAGGGAGAAGGAAGATAACTACGGACGGAAGGCAGCTAGTCAAGACAAACGCCGCGTGCCCTGGCAGGCCTTAGAGTCAACGGAGGGATTTGAGAAGGGACAGGAAAGCGGCCGGTGAGAAATGGTCTCTTCGCGGATGTCAGAGTTGACTAGATCCGATCTATTGTTGCCACAAGCGGAAGAGGAAGATGAGGATGATGACGATGAGGAGGATGATGCGGAAGAAGGGAAAAGAGAGGATACGGCGGTGGGGAGAGGAGACGAACCATGATCCCGAAGGCGAGGCCGGCGATGACCATGTTCTCGGTGGAGACGGCGTCGAGCTCCAGCGTGGTGAGGTGGCCGGCAAAGACCTGGGTGACGGCGCCGAGGGAGTACTGCGCTATGGAGGTGAAGATCGCCGGCCCCGCGAGGTACCAGAGCCTCTTGTTCTCCTCCACCGCCTCCTTCAGAAAAGTCCGGCAGGTGGTTATGTCCCCCATGTCCGCCTCGCTACCTCCCCTCTCCTCCTCATGGAGTAGGGGCTCCTCCAGCTTCTCCCCTCTCCGCGCCATGACTGTCTCTCCGTCTCTCTCCCTCTCCGTTTTTCCTGATCTCTTAACATATTTTTACACACACACACACATATATATATATATATGGGGAGAGAGAGGGAGACCGAAAGCTAGTTTATTGTGGTCCACTCTCTCTCTCTCTTGCTGAGAGAGAGAGAAAGAAGGAAATGAGCTTGGAACCAGTTTTTTTAAAAAATATTTTTTAAGTTTTTAAGTGGGTTGGATGTTGAACGATTTTTTAAAAAAGATTGGTTTATTGGGCCCCTGATGGTCAGCCCATTGGGCCGGAGTACGCGGCTGCGTTCGCCGACTCGTAAGAGAAACTGAAGAGCGCGACCGATAAATCGCGATCAGAGAGGGAAAGGAGACAAGGCAGCGCCCGCTGAGAATCCATGTTCTTTTCTCTGGCCCCGCAACTCCTCCGCCGCCGCCGCCACGTTGTCGCCACCGCCGCCGCCGCCGCCGCCCTCCATCGGCGGCTCCCGCCTCATGGCTAATCGCCCGAAGCCCTAGCAGCGACCTAGCCGGAGCTCCAATTCAGCCCTTTGCTCCAATTCTGCGGGAGCTCGAGTCTGTCTCCTCTCTCACGAAATGGAAGGAGGGAGGTTCATGCCCTCTCGGGAGAGCGCTAACCCTAGGGGACTAGGGTTATTTCAGAACCTCCACATATTGAAATCGCATCACCTCATCCTGAGAGCAACAATTTTACAAGGTTGCCAATGGACCAAGTGAGTTTTTCAAGATCAACAATAAAAGATGCAGAAAATCTACAATTGTTAAAAGTATGAGACATAATCAAATTCCTCGTGAAAAATGTCCAATTCTTATCTAATAGATGTTTGTCTTCTCTTTTCTTTGAGAGTCTTGAAGCAAAATAATTTTGCTTGCTGCCACAATTCTTCGGCAAGATCCCTCCATTGACTCTCCAACTTGTACTCTAAAGTAAATACTTTAATCTAAGTACTAATTATATTCTTCACTTTCCCATGATTGTAATTCACCACATAATATGCTACAACATGGGTTCTTATTTTGTTCATTAGTAAAAAAATTAAAAAATGTCTTTAAAAAATGACCTAGCAGACAAAATAAATACTTTGAATGGAGTATGTGAAAAAAAAAATTACTAAGTAAAAATGACCTAGCATCCTCTCTAAATTATTTGCATTCATTATTTCTTTATCAAGTAAAAATATATTTCCCATCTATATATTATATTTAGATGATGAATACAAACTATTTAGCCTACGGTTTCCTTCATCAAATTGAATATCATCATGATTAAACCTAAAAGAAAGGGAGTGATATAGGTGACATAAATTTGTGGATAATTTTTACTGGAAGATAAAGACTAAGGACGCCCATTGCATGCAATCTTACTCGCATGCTCACGTCCTCAAAATTTGTAGCTCGAGCATCCTTTTTATACTCGAGAATTAGTTTGTCATTTTTTTAATACGTTAAAACCATAATAAAATAGCACACATGAAATAAATAGGTTATGGAGTTTTTTGGGGTGGGACCCACATGATCCGCTATCCACCTGCACGCACAAGATGGAAAAATAGAAATGAGGTTTGAGTTGGCGGCGCACATGGGTATCCTTCTCCTTTGCCCCCTTTAAAATGTTGATATATCTAATGCAACCCCCTATGATACTATATATATATATATATATATATGAATGCCCCAGTCTTTTGACGGCGCACCCGACCGTTGGAGTCGGCGCGAAGCCGTTAGGCCAGCCGCCGGTGGCGCGAGTCGGGCGATTAAATGGCTAACGGAGGGTGCAGGGCACTGGAGCCCACTTGGCGGGGGGGGCTCCACGACAGTTGGTGGGGTTGATTATAATGAGGCCAAATTCACCAGTAAATTAATTAATCCATTAATTTCCATATATATGAACATAAATCAAACTCATCCTTTTATTTCACTTTGTTAAATTAATTTACGAGGAAAATACACAATAATTAAAATAAAATATACACACCCCAAAAAAAAATCCCGATAAATTAATATACCCACTAAAAAATGGTTTGGTGATCAAATTGCTCCACTAAAAAAATATCCACTAATTACATATAATTAGCCACAATCTATTGAGGAAATTCAAGTTAACTGAATTAAACATGCAAACTTTAGTCTGCCCTAAAAAAAAAAAATCTATTTTCGTGGTAGCAACGAAAATAATTAAACAGAAATATGAAAATTTCCCACTAATTAAACATAAATATGGAAACTACCTGAAGGGGATTCGATCGATGAACCCTTTGCACTCATAATCAGTCTGCCCATTTCTTGAGAGAAATACATCAAATAAAAAATATATATTTAGTGCATGTACATGCGAGATGGCACCCATAAATCAATTTGGTTGGAGCCAACATGGAAGATCTAGGAACTACAAGAAGATAGTCTGGACCGTCGCAGTGGGCTCCTTTCCATCTTCTTCGTGTTAGCAACGTGGTCAGTTAGTCAGTCAGTCGGCGATCTTAGCCTTCTAACCAGTTTATTCCAGTTAGATCATCAAGCTACCAGCTTCCATTGCCTCTTTGAGGTCTACTCGTTGTCCTTCCCTGCTGTTCTCTTGTCCCTGGTGACTTTGCTGGCTGGAAAGTGCAGCCTGGCCATCAGAGGCCGGGGCCCACGGGTCTTCCGGTCAAATCCCCTCACACAGACAAAGCCTGTAAGGAGATAGAACACAGATAATTGCTAATTATAGCTTTTAAATATATATATATATATGGTCAACCCATGCGTAGAGAAAAGGCCAGAAGGATTCCAACCAAGAACTCCATTCTGCATCAATTTATGGTGGGGGAGAGAGGCCAAGAGAAAACCAGGGACTGTAGCTCAGATCCGGTCAAGATAGTGAGTGGGTCAGGCCTACTATTTTTGTGGCCCAATACCATAAAAACCGAGCTGGATTAGGGCCAATTGACATTATTACAATTATTTATAAAAGCATGATTATGGAGCGTTGACTGAGATTTGGTGGGGCCTACCTCTCCAGAAGCAGTTCTGAATCTCCTGAATAGCTAGACCTAGAAGAATCTCAGAAGAATAAAATGATTGCTCAAGCAATAATACTTTGCTGCTACGGTTGGTCAAATCCCCATCAGTTTACCTCTGAATATGGTGGGTATGGAAGTCCCAAAGTACACGGTCCTTCTTGGCAAGCTCCAGATCAACGACCTGGGAACATCGATTGGGATGAGGCTGGACTCGTGATCTGCAAAAACCTGCACCCATCGATGATTTTTTCTGCAATATTAGTTTTTGTTTTCCTGGAGACACATAAAAGTCTCCCCGTCCCTCCCTCCCTGTTGACTTCCAGGAGATATTGAGGTCCATATGGGATAGAAAGCTTACCTCGTTGACTTGGAAGTAAGTTCCGTTGAGCGGAAAGCTCCCTCTCATCGCCGTTCGACAAGGTATCTACAAATGGGGGGTTGACCCAACATTGGCCGTCCAAATATGAAAAAATTATTTTCTCTTTATAGGGATTGCATCCGTGCAAAGTCAATTTTTGGCACTATAAATGTCTATATAACCGAGTTTTACCAGGAGGGTTCCTCTGACTGTTTGACTTTGAGCTTCCCTCACGCTGTTGCATGAGAAACATGTTCTCTGTTCACACAGCTTCCCCGTGCTCTGGGCGCTGCAACAGGATTCTGGAGGCTCCACTGATTGGGCAGTTTCGCCTACCATTTGGCAATGGCTATAATATCAACCAAAAATAGCAGCATACCACATACAATAGCTACCATGACCTATGAAATCTTTTACATTTACCTGGCGTCCATATTGCAAGGAGGTAAGGGCATGGATCGTGGGCCTCTCTTTGGTCCAGCTGCATTATTATCAAGGAAATCATTTATCAATATAAATTCATTAAAATAAATAATTATAAACTCGGAAACTTTTAGTTAGGATGATGATAACTCACTTCCTCCAACAGGGGGTGTGAATCGGGGAGTTCATAGCTGTAACGGGTTGAAAACAGAGATTAGTCAACCGGGACATGGACAATATTTGCAATTTTAGTAAATTTGGCCAGAAAGTCAAGTAGGCATACACTCGGTGCTCCGTTCTCAGACGGCTCACGTTCTTCAGCTTGGGCACAGGGATGGAGGCTGTCTCCTGATTAATCATCACCAGAGCCTTTGAAAAGTCAACGTCTTGGAGCTCCGTGCTGCTGTTCTGCTGCATGTAATCCTGCAGATTCTGCGAGAACTCTTTGATGTTGAGCCTGATGACGGGGATCTCATCGGGGTCCTCATAGAACCCGTCTTCAATGTCAGGAATCTGTGTGCATTCTGGTTCCGGGGAGTCTGGTTCTTCAATGATGGGCTCACAATTGTTCTTGGTACCTTCTTCTCGCCTGAGTGGGATGCCATCGAGCTGAGGAACTAGGTATGGGTTGCCAAGTGGCGCATGATTATGCTCCATGGATGAGGTCGCCAATCTTCTCTCCTCTGGGCCTGGCAAAGCAAGCCTTGCGCTGCACTCGATATAATAATTAAATTATAAAAAAAAATAAAAATCCGCAGGAATTAATTTAATCTTTCCAGTAAAATAATTCTACTCGTCAATCCAAAAATCATATGGTGTTATGGAAAAATATTTCCCAGATTTAGAACTCATCAATCCAAAAAAAATATCTTATGGCGTATGGGAAAATATTGTCAATCAAAAAATCTTATGGTGACGTGGGAAATATTTCCTACATACCATGGAAATATCCTCAAATTGAAACAAGTTAACTACAGGCCGATGTTTTTAATTAGGAGCCAGAGCATTTTAAGAGCGTAAATAATGATGGTGATATACCTCGCAAAGGCACTAGCAAAATGTTTGCACTCGCCTCTCATGGGGCATGCATTGCAATTTGGCCTGCTTTTCGTGCAGAATACCTGTAAGTGGCATTTAATTACCCGATATTTTCCTCACAGAAAAGGAAAAGCTTGAGTATTTTCCAGAACAATGGGAGGTACCTTTCCGAATGTGATCATCTGATAATGTAGCTCGTACCTGTTTCATCAAGGATGCCCATGGGAGTTAAAATTAGTAGAAACCTATCATATTCTTCAGCAAACCGATTACAGCAGGATCGATTGAATCCACATCAGACTCGGGCCAGCAAGATCTAAGACTATAGTGCTTTATGAGGGTTTTCAGATGTTACAGTGTTCGCTGATCCAGAGTGCATAGTCGAGGCCAAAGATACTTCTGGATGGTCTCCAACATAGGATAGCTATTTGGAAAAAATTAAAAGGTCTTTTAATCGATAAATAGTTATTCAAAGGCATTAAATAACATTAAATAAATTTAATTACTCACAGCTCTAGCAGATGCAACTGAAGGGATTCTGGCAGAGGCTGAAGGGGTACCCATCCAAGTCTCACGCATATTCGACCCACATTGGTGTCAACCTTTTCAGTGAGGGGAAGAGATAGAACAACATCAGAATTATATATATATAAATATACATGTATATGTATTTATAGACGATCACATTTATTTTTTCAACGGTGATCTTGAGGGGAAGACCTTAAATATTTAGAGGAAAAAACTTACTGGGAAAGCAAGATGATGAAGGGTCAAAAGACGAACACATTCAACACTCTTCAGCCCTAGTCCTTTAATGCTCAAGAGGAAGTCCCTGGAACCATAAACCAGTTAGTTGACCTTGCTTCATTAGGATTCTTAACATCATACTTGCCCAAAATAGTTGACCTTACTTTGCTTTGGCTGGAGGAACATCCCTCAACCATTCTAGGTCAATGCTTCCATGATCATTCTCCAAGCGGTCGAGGAAGCCCTACAGAAAAGAGAAAAAGATCCAAATACGCTTTAAAAAAAAAAAGCAACTTATAATGGAATCATCAACAAATCCAGAACCTCTTCTATAAATGTTTGTTAGGTTACCTTGATTCTCTCTGCAAGCATGTTGTTCATCCCACGTTCTCGGATGGTGCGGGAGATTTCATCTACATCAGCTCGTTTCACTGCTTCCCAGTCCAGAGAGTCCATCGTATCGCTACTTCTTCCCTTCCTGACACCACTCCGGCATGCTTCCCTCCTCAAGCCATCCCAGTCCAAAGGGTTCACCTTTTCCACTTTGGGTCTTCCTCTCTTCTTTATTTGTCCGCTACCTTCTGAGACCGCACTGTCCTTTCTATGATTGGAAACTTCATTTGTTCGGTTTCCCATCATACCCTCGGTCACTGCAGTTTTCCCCCCCTCTATCGTGGTGAAGCATCTGACAGCATCAGGGACCTCCTTGACGGGCAAGTATGGAGGGGAGGTTTGAGCGGCCAGGCTGCCCGTGGAAGCCTGTGACTCACCAGACAGCGAACTGCCTTGAGACGTCACAATAGAAGACTGATGATCAGCGATTCCGCTTCCGTTTACTGACGACCCACGTCCAGAGCTTGAAATCTTCATCCCAACTGGCATGCTGGTTCCAGAGGCAAACGGTAACGAACAGAGCCCACCTTCTATTGATTCTTTTGTGGGCGGGACATAGAATCCTTCGGCATCAGTGGTCTTTCCATGTCCAAAAATATATAATTCACAGAGATTTCTGCTCCCTGCCATCTCTAAAAGCTCTGTGAATGAGATCCTGGACTCCAAGCTGCATCGGTTATTGTTCATGATCGAGCATTCGACCTCAGAGTTTGAGTCTGAACAGGACCCACAATGATCGATCTTCGGACGAGGGTCGTCTGAAGAGTTTTGAGATGAAACAACTGAAGCTTTTGATGAATCTACATCTCCCGGCGCCTTTATCTCCTCTGCCCTGATTAGATTCGAATCATCTGCTGCAACCAGTGGTGTATCCGAACAAGGTGAGTCTTTGACTTGCACCTGGTCCTTTTCTTCAAGGACTATGGGATTTCCTCTAGACCCAGGAGGAAATCTCGCTGCCATGGACATAAAGGCAGAGCTGTGGAAGTAATCAGAAGATAAACATCAAAAAGATAAGCAGTTGAAATTTATTTATTAGATTTATAAAATATCACTAACCAGATTAGGTGTAAATTAGAGCTCACCTTGAGAGATGATCAGAGACATTCTGTGTAAGAAAGACCCCAATCACTGAATCTAGGACAGACCCTTTCCATGGAGAAAAGCGCCTGTCACCTGTATCAGATATATATTTTTTAATATTTTTCACAGGATATAAATGCCTCTGGTAAACAAAAGCAAGTAGGATGGCCCCTGTACCTTGAACAAGGTGCATTTTGGCGATGAAAGAGTCTGCCCGTCCACGGAACACCCGCCTTTCCTCCTCCCACCACTTCTTCTTGTCTGCCTCTGTTCCTTCAACGCCATTACTTTCCTTCCCCATCAGGAGGTTCCACATCCTGTTTGTCTCCGCGTCCAGGATGACCTTTGGGCGGACTTTCTTTAGAGAATGAAGCTGGCCCTCATAAATGACAATTGTCCCATTAGCACTATAAGGAACGAGTGCAGTCTCTTCCTGAGGGAAACTGCTTGCTCGGCCATTGATATCTAGAGATTTCACCCCATGGATAATAATGTCCAGAGGCGGAATTTTCTCACTTCCATGAGCAGAGTTTTCTGAAAAAAATTGTAGACCATTTTTCTCAGAGGAGCTTTGCAGGGATGAAACTGATCCATCATATTTCTTCCCCAAAATGGAAACATTTAGGTTTGATTCTCGCGGGATCACTTTGGTTGCATTTGGGAGCATTTTTGGAGTTGCTTGAGATTGCCCCTTTTCTGATGAGCAAAATTCCTGCTTACCCTCCACAGCTTGGAGCTTTTCAAATACCAAATTGTTACCATTCGCCTGAGAATCCAATTCGTTGACCACTGGTCCACTCCAAACTCTCTCGGTCCTCCTCTTCTTCTGAGCTTCGTTCCTGTCACTAAATGATTCATTGATCCCGTTTATCTTACCATTATTGGGGGTCTTATCGAACTCTGACGCTGCAGTTGAGGCAGGACGATCTTCAAAAGTCAACTGGCTGCCCACTTGTGCTTGATAATGGATCTGGAACTGATCTCTGTCCCTCATTCTTGCAAGCTTCTTCAAGTTCCCCCGTATCAGTTCTCTTCTCGACGGCTGAAGTTGCAGGGATGGGACCTCCATAAAATTCAAATATACATCAAGGACTTGGTTGTTCGCATGGCTCAAAACTGGACCCCTCTGTGCTGATGAACCCGCATCGGATTCCAGTTCTTGGCTGCTCATATTAGCATTGGATCGACCATTACCAATGTCATGCCCCGGAAGTGATTCTGCTTTACCACCATCGCCTTCTGGAGGGAATTCCAAGCGACGCTTTGCAGAGTTCGCCCCCCCCTCTCTTCTCTCATCTAGTTGAACGTTATCTCCAGCTACCCCACTTGGGGGAGTCTCCAAGGGGGAGTCCACACCTTTCCTTCGAACATATTTCCTCTTACCAGTGCCTTCTGCTGAAGGTGTTGCAGGCTTGGGGGTTGATGGCTTCGGTGTTCTAGGGGGCCTCCCTTCTCGTACGACCTTGGGCCGGTGCTTCTTTCTTCGGGGCTTCTGTGGTGGCGTCTGCTCTAAGTCAACTTCCTGCTTCTCTGCCGTCCCAGTGGCCTCAATTTCCTTCGGCTGAGAAGAAGGCCCCACGGACAGGAACTCTGAGACTCCTCTGTCGAAGCACAGGGTAATGGGGCCCTTCCCTTCTGGGAGGAAATCTGGAGGGCGACTCGCTGGCTCTGGGCCCCGCCCAGCTGCTTCCCCCCCTTCCACAGGCTCTCCTCCACCCCTATAGAGTCGGCTATCCTGTCCAACCTTGGTCTTCTCTGGAGTCACAGGAGCGAATGGAGGAGGGGGAGGTCCGAAGTCCGCCAACCTTGCTGCATATTTTATTTTTATTTCTTTGTGAATGATTGGTTATATACTTCTAGCGATGAACTCATCTATAAAGTAATCGAGAGGTTCAAAAGACAAAGTGATCGATAATCCAAAGCAAACCCATTGTTCTTTAATGGGAAAGGGAGTGCAAGCAGAATCACTCACAGTGGGTGGTACCATGGAGAAGGAGATCGCCGTTCAGCATGACCTTTCCGTTCAGCAGCAACTGAGCAGTCGATTGCTCCACGCCGTTAATGGGTTCTCCAGTGAAGAACATGGGGACAGAGGTTGTGAAATTCTGAGGAGGAACGGCATTATTCTCGTGGAGAGGGAAATTGCCATACGGGATCTGATGCCAGCCTTGTGAGGGGGAGCCCCACATGGCACCACTGCTGGGGAAGGGGAAGCTCGCTAGAGCCGCCACCGCCGTCTCACCGCCGGTGAGATCGACGGAGAAACCCGCCACCGATTCGAGCCAGTTCGCGCCGGCGGGCTGGGCCCCCTGGCGGCTAGCCGGCGGCGCGGGAACCCAGGAACTCGGGAGTCGCAAATCATGTCCGCGGAGGTCCATCTACGGAGAAGCTCTCCGCAAGAATGAGGGATCAGAGAAGAGAGAAAGAGTGGCAAAATTCAGGGCCGCTGTCCCCTCGGGGGTTTAATTGCGGGTGGGTAAGCGGAGAAAAAGAAGAATCGACGAAGGAGAGAAATCTGCACAGGCTGGAGGAATTTATCGATCAGACAATCACCCCCCGCAGTGATTCACCCGCAGATCTGGACACCCAGAGACCAGCTATCACGGGTTGGACCTGTAATCACATTTCCCCGTCCCTCCTTCCAATCCTGGACGGAGGAAGCCGAGAAGAACACAGCGAGCGAGAGAGAGAGAGAGAGAGAGAGAGAGAGAATTACACAGAAGGAAAGAAGATAAACCGAGAGGAAATCCAGGGAAGAAGGAACCCGAACGGGAAAGACCGTCTGCTCGGGAAGAGAGTCAATGCCTCTTACTTCACGAATCCAAATGGTAAGCAAAGGTGGGCTCCTTGCCTGCTACCAAATTCCCGCACCCGGGCGAACGAGACGAGGAGGAGGAAGTGGGGAAGGAAACCAAGAGGAGGGGAGAGAGACGAGGAAGAGCGCTGTGAGGAAGCGACCATTCTCCCTCGTTCACTTGCTAGTCGTGATCACAGAGTGAGAGAGAGAGAGAGCCCACCTATAGAGAGACGGCGCTTTCTTTCGTCTTCAACGTGTTTCTGTACTAACCTCTCTCTCTCTCTATCTATATCCCGTACTACAGAAAGAAGCTTTAAAAAATTGGAAAAGTCGATTTAACCCCCTGGATATCAGTGCCTTGGATAAAAGTTAACGGAACCATTTCACAATAATACAACTTTCAGGGTTCAAATCATGCGTAAATTCTTATAAGCGAGGCTTTTCGTAATGTAGCATTAAATATTCCGCTCTCGGTTATTTCTCTTAAGACAGTTGATATGTCACCCGTTGGCGAACACAGGCTGTGGGCCCCACATTGCCCACCACCTGCGGCTTCGGCTCCGAGCCGCCGGCGCTGGCTAAGCCGACCATCTATTGTTAAGGGAAAGAGATGGATAGCCTAACGAGGCGGGAAGCAATTAGATGCTTTGAACGCCTGCGAACTCTGATGCCAAGGAAATCGTTGACTTTCTTTTTGCTCACCCTCCCAACATCTGTACACGAAGTGATACACTTTGACCTACCAAAGAACCTTTGAATTATAAAAACTTAGATTTTGACCAATATACTTCATGGGTTTATGGCATTATCTTAAACAAGTCAAATCCAGTACTTAGGAACTGAGATAAAAAATATATATATTATTTCCAAATAGCTGACATATGCAAAGTCAAAAAAAGTATTGTTTTTGTCAAAGATGAGGCGCAAGTCAACGTTAGGAAAGCCATAAATAAGTAACATATTCTTATGTACCAAAGTAATTAAATAACTTATGTGATCCCGTCTTCCATCATCAACTCATTTATTAAAAAAAAAGAGTAACATTTGTCAACTGATACCTTGATATATCAAATAAAAATTAAAATATTATTCATGTAAAATGAAAAATTCAACAATCTTCATGTTGTCAATATGTAATCGTTTAAAATGATCCATTCGTATTGATTAAAAATTACATTAAAACTAACGAGATTTTTGAATAAGTGAAGGATGGAGAAGGAGATATTTTTAGCTACATATTGTGACCATTCATAAACCATTTCATAAAAAATAAACATGTATACACCTAGTCATGCATATACATGATAAGAGGGTAAGGCGGGGAGAGTCATCTATAGCTGTTGACTTCCACTCTAGGCAACTCCATCAAGTGGTGGTCAACGTCCAAGTCCTCGTATGGTTAGGAAGGTCAAAGTCAAGGTAAAGATGGGTATAGGAGTGGTGGTGGCCTAAATGAAGAAAATGAGCTTATGGGGAGGATAATTATTCCTCATATATGAGTCATGGCTTCAATGATAGCCTTGGTCTTGCTGAGGACAGACACATGTGGCTTGATGCCATTCTTCTCTTCATGTTCTAGGAAGGGAAACCCTAGTGTGACTTCATTGAACGAAATAATATCTCTAATAACCAGATGACCTATTCAATAGATGGATATAATAAGCATCATATGAGCTAAAGTTAAATAAATAAGTGAATGCAAATCAGGATATTAGTCATTTCAAACACAATTGTTTATCTCTTGATTTTGATACTTCCATATGATGAAAGCTCATAGTTTAACTTATTTTTTTTGTAATTAAACCTACTTTAGCTAAAAGTAACATTTTGATTGCTAAAATTTTATTTAACACAATATCAACCTTTAACATTCCCCCTTGATGCAAAGCTAGTGATATCAAGTGATTCATGAAAATTTAGATAACTTAAATACTTTCATAAATTTATTGGCAAATTAATCTTTTATTGAGGAAAAGTTCATCTCAATTAGACATACAATAATTTGATTACATGTAAAATGATGACAAATCTCACTATATATTAGTTCTTTCATGGAACAATAGATTCTTGAACATTGATACCATTATGTCAAATTAACTTTTGTCATGATCACCCTCATCTAATAGCTTGTTCTACACTTTATGATGTTACAATATATTCAGTTTTAGATAATAGCATGGTTTGTTATTTCTTCAAACTTCAAGCTATTGCACTTGGTCCAAGGCTAAAAATAAATCCATGTGTGCTCTTCTTGTTAGTAAAATTAATCATTGCCTAATTATTGTTAGTAAAATGAACTAATTTAAAATTAAGGATATATTTATATAAATTTTCATAATTACTAATGCCAAGAATGTAATAAAGAATTTTGTTTGTTGCTCTAAAATGATGTATCATAAGACAATACATAAATAGGTAAATCAAGTTGTTAAGACATCCAGCCTACTATAAGTGAAATATATGAAACCAACAATAATAATTATATAAAATCCTACATCCACTTTTATATGCATGCATCTCTTGAGAAAAATATGTCATAACCATTTTAATAATTTCATGTCTAAGAAAATAATAAAATAAATTTAAGTATGTCATATCTAATTTTACTTTCATGAAAGTTTTGAAGCTAGAAATCAAATCAACATATTTTCTGGTATAAATAATATCATGCACGTATGCACATATAGTCAAATATTTCCCTATTTCATTTTTCATAAAGTGATGGTTTACTCAAGTTTCCATAAAAAAATATTTTTATGAAGATAAGAGTCAAGTTTACTATATCATGTCTTCGCCTCTCTTTTAAGCTTGTATAAGATTTTCTTCCACTTGTAAATTTTATTCTTTTTGACATCAACCACAAATCTCTCTGAGGTCACTCAACATATATATATTCATTCAATTATTTATTCAAAAATACAGATTTAGCATGAAATTAAAATACTAATAACTTCATTTGAATTTTGATGAACTCGAATTGGAGGTTAAATATGTTGTCGTGATGCAACCAAGTTCATGTAAATAATATTTATAAAATCTCACTCTTTTATTTATAATAAGTAAGGGTCGATTCTCAAAGAGTGTGGATAATGAGAGTAAACATTTTATTTATTTTATTTCTTATATATATACATATATATATATATTTAAGATCATGAAGGGTAGAATTAAAAACAAAAAAAATGAAAACAAGACAAATATAAAGTGTGGCAAAGGAGAGATAATAAATATAATGTAATGAAATGATAGAATAAATAGTAAAACTAGTTCGAATTAAAAGTTAATATATCCGTAGAGAGGATTACAAGAACGCCCTAAATTTGAATCCTACATAAACCTCATTATGCTCCAGTCATAGGTTGAGTGATGCTTGATTCGTGATGATTTTGATATGCTCCAAGTAATCTCTTCTCCATGATGATCTTGGGTATGAGAATGTCATTGACTAGGCCTTAATTTCTCTTATATTTTCTTTGACTAGCCACTATTAAAGAGAGAGTCAAAAAGAGTCTTCCAAGAAAAAGGCGAGATATCTTAATCCTTTCAAAAATTAGGTCCCTCATATGGACGGTTATAATTAATAATCGACTATCTTAGTGGATGGCCTTGGGCGGCACTTTAATCCTTCTTTTAATCTCATCAAAGACGTCCTAAGATGGGCAACATAAATTTCATCTCTTGATAGCTTTTTTAAGTCCAAATGGGCTAAGCCAAGATGATGCCCTCTCTTGGGCCCATAAATATATTAGGCCAGCTCTCTCCATAAGACGACTTTTCATTGGGTTGAAGGCTTAGGCTTCTTCCATTACTTCTAACTTATAATAAGAGCTCACATAAGTCTTTGCAATCAAATAATTATTAAGAAAAAGTGAGAGAATACCACAACTTCATAAAAGTCAAGTGAGGTTAGTCTCATAATATAAATAAAATAATATCTATTAAAAATTAAATAATAAAATATTATGAATGTTATAATGAGTTGGTAACACGTATAATTATATTATCTACACATTAATTAACATATATATAAGATATTAATATATATGTAACTATTAATTTATAATTATCAAGTTTCTATAATAAAAATATTTCTTATAATTTAAAATTTAACACCAAGATATATTTTTTAACAATAATAGATACCATATTGTCAAGCATATTCTTTTGTCATCAATCTTATTTATATATTTTCACATTTTCATATGAATTATACTTGATCTTGTAAATCTACTTCATACCAATAACTTTATGTTTTGATAATAGATTCATCAACTCTAACCAATTGAGATAATTTATTATTTAATAGCTTACTTCCATTCTTCTTTTCCTATAGTCTCTTCATGGCCTGTTAGTTATGCAATCATTAAGACAAAAAGTATGCAGCTCATATATCTCATTTAAAGGTCATACCTTCCTTAGAGGAGTTCAACTCATGACTAGAATTATGTTAGCTACCCCCACTTGAATGCCTTCAAGTTTTCCTCCATGTAGAGCTTAATGAAGAGACACATAAGCATCATCCCTTGTCATAATGGTGTAAACTCCTCAGTATTTTTAGAAAAATACATTTTTTGAATATGAGTATTATATAATTTTAATAATTATAATAAAAAAATAATATATCAATGAATAAGTTAACTTCTTTGTTTCAAGATTTTTTGAATCATAACCCCTATTTTTATCACTGAAAATAGTAGAAGAATATTTTTCAGTCTTCTTATCTATTTATTTGCAATCATCAAAATCAATTAAGGCCTAAGGTATATAATTAATATATTCAAATGACTAAAGTTTGGTTTTTCTTTAAAATTTTATTTCATTCAAGGTCATATTTATGACTGTTTTGGTGGTGAAATATTGAGGAGATAGATTGAATTGGCCATTATTTTAGTCCAAAAATTATTAGGAATATAATTTATGAAGTATGCTTTATGTCGTTTCTACCTCTATTTCATTTTTCCTTTCAATTATATTATTTTACTAAGTCTTTCTATTTTAAAATTACACATGAATACCATGTTGTTTGTAAAAGAACCAAACTCATATGATAAAAAAAAATCCCTCTATTATACAAAAGGTACCTATGGCTTCAATCATTACTTTAAACTCAATTAATTTAGAAAATATCTCTGATTTTTTAATCAAAAAATGACCCAACTAATTCAGGTATAATTATCAATATATATATGTAATTATTCAATAAAGAAGTTTTCATTGGCCCAAAAATATCCCTACGAATTAAGAGATGACTTTACCTTCCAAGTTTTTTTCAAATCATAATGACAAACAATGTTGTTTCCCATAAATGTATCATTCAAAAATATTATTACTAACTGAAATTTATAGAAAATTTAGAAATCATATCATTTTTGTTTAATAACTTTAATGTATTGAATTGTAAATATCAAAGCCATAAGTCATTAGAAGTTTTAATAATCATAACAAAGTTCATTATTTTTGAAATATTGTAAAGAAATATCATTTTTCCTACTTCAAGAACTGAAATAGAAAGCATTTTTCTTTTCTTGGCTCTAATAATAGACATTTCATCATTGAAATGAAAAGTATATCATACATTATTACTTGACCAACAGTCAAATAATTGTGAACTAATTTATGAATAAAATAAACATCATTTATGAACTTCTTTATACCTAATTTTATTTGAACTGCAATAATTTGAATACTTTCAATTTGAACCCTTCTTCCATCTCCTACTCTAACTTAACATTTTTTTAATGTATCTACACTTTGAAACAATTCTTTTACACATGTGATATGATTGCTACTTACATTATCTAAAGTTATATATTATTGTTGCTCGACATTGTCATCACATAAGGAATAGACAAACTTCTCTACTTTTACCAAATTAGCTTGTTCTTTTACCTTATCTTAACAATAAGTTTTAATACATATAAATTTCTTACAGTGTTGACCTTACATGATCTTATAACTTGGTTTTTCTTTTTTAACTTCAGTCCAACATAACTTTGTTGTCTATGATAATATGTGTAGTAACTTCTTCCATAACTATGCCCTTGGGCACAGCTATACTAACCTCCACATCCATGACTTTTGGTTATTTTGATATTTATTGAATACGTTTTCACTATTCATTTATTTTTTAAAAACCTCAAGTTTGACTTGAAATATATGCCCAAAAGATTTTTCAGAAGATTTATTATTGTATTCTTCATTTTCCAATAAGGAGTCTATTAACTCGTTTTCTAAATAAATAGATAAATGATTTTTAAAGTGCAATAAAAATATGATTCAATTATGAAATAATGCTAATCAAAATCTTATCAACAATCTTTCAAAAAACTTTTGTCAAAAAATTATCATGTTATTTATTATAATAGAAATACATGAAAAAAATCTTGAATTGATTCACTTGATTTCATAATAAAAGTTTTAAATTTTCTTCAAAGTATTTAAAACTTTGACATTGTGACTTCGCTGTTACCATTAAATTCTTATTTTAGGATCCTCCATGGCACTATGGAAGTTTTAGTATTGGTAATTTTTGGAAAAAATGCCTCTAAAACAACTTGGTGCAGCACTAGAAGAGCTTTATTATACATCAAATCTGATTTTTTAATCTCTTCCTGTACAAAATCATTTTGAACAAGATCCCATAGATGTTTTGACAGACAAAACGTCCTCATCTTGATGCTCTAAAATTCATAATTATTTATATTATAAAATGGCACAAGAGATTGAGAAGATTTAAAAACATTACTACCATTTGATATTTTTCAACAAAACAATTTTTTTCTTTGAAAATAGATATTTTGAATGCTTGTTCTCATAGATATTTTGAATATTTTGAAAATAGAGCTCTTTAGGAATGGTCTACACTGTCAAATAAAATAGATTTCACTCAAAAAATTATTTTGTATAGTTATCTAGCTTCAATCGAATATATGTAATAATAGAGATTCAATACATAAAGAATGTAACTTTAATATCATTTTGTAGGAAGTAAATTCTGAAATAGAGAATAAAATCTTGTAAAAAATGATTGAAAATGAATTAGAGGATGGGGAACAAAAAGAGGACCATGACATGATTGTGAGCCCTGAATAGATGAGAGATAAAATAATTAACCAAATTGATTAAAAAAATACTAAAGTAGTATCTTTATAGGACTTAAAATAGAGACAAGGGTGAAAAGGTAGTTAATAAAAATAAAAAGCCTAGATCTAACAAAGAGATAAAGCTCTCAAGAAACTTTTGCTATATCATACACAAGAAGTCAAAAACCCGTATCTCATCCACAATTGTCATCCTTCCGCTAGAAGGTTGGAGCTCTCAGCTCTCACCATTGGCCATCACCAAACCCATGGCAATGCAACAAGGATGGGTTATTCATAATCATTATTTACTTAACTACTCATTATATTGATAGATTTTTTTTTCTTGATTAAATACACCCACTTCTATTTTTATTCTATTTTTTATACCAAGTTCAATTTTGTAAATGAGTAGATTAAACATTATTCTTAAAAGGGTATAATTCTTAAATTGTCTAAAACCCAATGAAAAATGGGGCAATGTCGTTTTTTTCCATCTGAAAACGATAAAATTTTAAGAATCCAATGAAAGAATTGTACTTTTTATAAGATGGGCACCAGAAATAAATAATTTAGGAAAAATAGTTTTGTTGAATTATGAGATCTCATACCACATCCTTGGTGTTTCGGGCCAGGCAACTCCCAAACGTGCGTGACATGGATGGGTACACATGTACATGGGCTTCAAACTTTGGTGCAAGCCATGGGAAATGGGCTCAATGCGGGGGCTCAACCTCGTCCATAGGTATGCATATATTAAATAAAATAATTAAATAGAGAGAGATGACGTGTCATATGGATGATCTTCAGACAGACATGTGGCAAGAATGACGGCACAGTCTTCCTTCGAGATTGGAAGCCCAGTCAACGCCTGCATGTTGAAGAGCCCATAAATATTGAGTTGGGCCCAATAAAAGAGTAGAGCATCGCTGACGCATTTGTTTCTCTGGCAGCACCCGTCAGATAATGATCGAACGGATAGGGATGTCACTTTTTCCCCACGTCAATCTCTCCGAATGTGTAGATTTCATTGTGGCCCCATAGACAATGAAATCGTATATATACTTGATTCTGGGGATAAATAACAAATATGATAGTTTGGGGCCAATAAAGTGAAGGATGAGTTGGGGGTAATCTCTCTCTCTTTCTCGCTCTCTCTCTCTCTCTCTCTCTCTCTCTGACGCGTTTTCTTCGGGGGTTCTGAAGGAGGGAGGACCCCTGCGCCATATTCGGACAGCCGGCGTTCGCACGATGAGCACTCTCTCTATCCAAATCTGTTCGTCTCTAGAGAGTTGAGCAGGATGGTGTCTCCTCGACTTCTTGGGCCGTACTCCAGGAACCGCCCCTGGTTTGCCTCTACACGGAACCTTTGTTGTGAAGGGTACGGACGCTGTTGGCATTTCCTTTTCTGGAGTTAATTCATGCTTCGTGTCGCTGCAAGAGGTTCCCGTCGTTAATTTTCCGTGCTGTCTTTTGAGTTCTTGGAGTTCATATTTGGAACACGATGTGGATCGCTCAGTGGTCGTCCTTTATTTTTTCGGGATTTTTTGTTTGTTTTCACGTCCGCGTTTACTTTTACCCTTGAATCTCTCCAGGAGAGCAGCTCTATCTACCGTACAGCCATATTTTTAGTGTCGTTCCATGATTTTGATCTAAGATGTCTTAAATTGACTGCAATGTTTAAGTGTATTCAATCACTTTAGTGGTTGGTACTTTTCAATTTCGTAGTTACTCTTGAAATTCGTTAATGGCAATGCCGTTGATCTCTCTCCTTTTCTTTTTTCGTTTTAGAGTCCTAACGCTATATTTGAAGGCATTGAAGCTATATTGTAGTTTTCATTTTACATGTTCTTCTGGTCTAATCCTCAGCAACGAGGAAAGTATCTTCACTCCTTTCTACTGTGATAAAATGCCTGTCTCCTTTGGTTCAGCACATGAAAAGAAAATCATATCTAGTGATTATCTGTTCCTTAAAAAAAAACAATGTGTAGAAAATCTAGGTTTTCTTTCCCTAAATTGAAGCAGTTTATTTTCTGACACTCAGGTTAGGCCACAGGCCTGCGCAATTCTGCAGCTACTCTGGATCAAAGTTTCCGAGGGACAGGAATGATCTTTCAGAATTTGATAAAGCACTTCCTTCTTGGTCATTGAGAGATTATATTATTGTATGTATCTTTTACTTTATTATCTTCTCGTCTTGTTATTTATTGAGGATCCAATAGTTTTTATTTTACAAATTTGGAATGTAGCCAACTGATCTTAATTTTTTTAATTTCACATGTTAATAAAAAATTTGGTAAATATTGGATATCTGCAGCCTCCTGCTGTATTGCTGGTTTTTGGTGCTGGGGTGTGGTTGATTCACAGCAATGACGAACGGAGAGCAACTTCAGGTTTCTTTTTTTTAACCTACTATGATATTTACATGTATATATAGTTTTTCAGAAAAATGTGTTGGGTTGGGTTTTAAAAACTGTGAGAAATCCTGTTTTGAAAACTTTCAGATACCATCAGACAAACTGTCTTGGGTTTTTTTAATTAAAAAATAGACTTGGTCCAACCAGGTTCATTATTTTGTTATCTGGATGAACGATCTGTTGCTTGTGCATTGAAATGAATATTTTCTGAACTTATGGATGATATTTCTTGAGGTCTCTTTCAGGAGTGAGAGTGGGAAACTATAGCCTCTCCATCATTTTGTCCATCTTCTACATTAATCATGGTGAACTAATAGATTTTACATGAAAATGAGTATTGATCCAAATCGGTGGCTGGAAGAGGCAAATCAATCCAATACATTGGCTGCATCTATCTGGAGATGATACTATTTTTTTTTTCTCATCTAATCAAGGAAAATGTGGTCCATCTTTCCTTCAATAAATATATACCAGTCTCCTTATGCACAACGGTTATTTACTTAAGGGCATACAAATTATGTCTTTATTTTTCTTTAGTAGGACTAAAAAGTCTCTTTTTCCTGGCATATACTTTGAGGCTTATTTACAATTAATTAAATGCTGTATTACTTTGTGTGCAAAACTGTGAACGAAACTCTTGGCCTGCAGATATAATTTATTCACATGTTTAAGAATTCCATGTATTTAGTTTTCCAATTATTCAGGTCTCATTCCATCACTTGCCTTCGCCTGTCTTAGACTACTATCGTGGGTCTATGGGTAATTCAGAAAGGAGTTCTGAGAGGATGGGAATGAGAAGAGGAAGTGGTATGATAGGGGTTGAGTTGGAGGGGAGGTAGAGGTTTGAAGTGGAGGGATGCGGGTGGGACAGGATCCTGGATGGAGGTGAAAGAAAAAGGAGACTATGAAGGAAGCGGTTGGAGATTTGGAAGTTGTTGGGTGTTGTGGGGACGGGGGGAGGCAGCAGGAAGAGGACATGCTGGGGAACGCTGTGCAGAATTGTGGATACTCAATCAGATTTCCATTCCCTCAAAGGTTTGATGAAGGAAGAATAGGAACCAGAATGGAATTCGTGAATCTCACTTGGATCATTGATTAGACCAGGCCTCTCTTGTAGCTAGGCAAAGGGCAAAAATAGAAGAAGAGGCCATAAGTTGCAGCTGGAAGAAGAAGGATGAGGGAGTATAAAAAAAAAAAGGAAATCCCTACCTCCCGCCGCTATCTCTCAGCTAATTCTGTATTCTGCATCCTTTTATTGAAATATATTTATATAATCACCAATAAGATTTCCTCAGGGGCCTAGAATAATGTCTTGGAGCTGCAGGAGGTGTGCCTTGTCAGGCATGGGGTTTGGAAGGATTAGGATCAGTAGAAGAACCTGTTTCTCTTTGACTGACATATGCCCATCTTTCCTCTTTTGATGTAGGATCAAGCCAAACCAAACGCTTTGAAAGGAATCCCCAAGGTGTATGGCCGTACGGTGGCCCATTCAGACTGATTAACACAGAGAATAAGACAGTGACCGAGGCTGACCTTCAAGGCTCTTGGATTCTCATGTACTTTGGTTACACTTCTTCCCCTGATGTTGGACCTGAGGAAGTTCAGAAGATGGCAGAGGCCATTGACATATTAGGTGCCTTTTCTACAATGACACTATCGATAATTACCTGATTTCCTGTGGATGATTTTAATGAGTGACCGTTGAGTTACATTATCATTAAGGATTTTTTTTTAAATACCAACTGGTATTTGGATCGATCAGATGTATGCTTCAAATTTCTTTAAACACTTATCCAAAAATTTTACGATAGAGAATGAATGAAATGTCCTGCCGATACCATTGATTAGACCTCGAATAGCACAACAACATCTGTGCAAGATCATGACTGTTGTGGTTATAGAATAGATGGATGATAGATTCTTCATATTTATTGTTATTATTTGTGTTTCCTTAATTTTATCTGTACTTTTTAGAAATAAATCTATGAACACTGATTATGATGTCTTTACCTCAAAGAGGATCAGCACCATCTAAAGATAACCCCGGTCTATATAAGCATTGATCCCCAACGGGATTCCCCTGCACAACTTCGAGCTTACCTTCAAGGCCAGTGCCCTCTGCTCAAGTTTTTTTCTTTTCAAATCATATCTATTTATCTTTAATAACTGAAGAAATCAATTTTGTTTTTTCATTTACTTGCAGAATTTCATCCTAAAATTATTGGATTAACTGGACCCGCTGCTGCTATAAAGCAGATCGCACAGGAATTCCGCATCTTTTTCAAAAAATCGGAGGAAGAAGGCCAAGATTACCTCATCGAATCAACAAACGACATGTAAATTAGGATTATTATCATCTGATGAACTGCTTAATCTTTATTTGTATACAAATTCAGAAGAGCGCCACCATCATTTCTATTATCTTGCCAGATGAACTGCTTAAACTTTATTTTTTATACAAATTCTGATGAATTCAACCACCGCTTGTATAAAATTTTGTCAGGATCCTTCTGAACCCGAAAACAGAGATTGTGGGTCGCTTCGGAGTGCGGTATGATGCAGTTCAGTTGTCAGATGCTGTCGCAAAGGAGGTAAAGAAAGCAGCCGGATGAGCTGGAGGCAAGCTCGAGTTCCCAGTTTCCTGATAACATGTTCATCGAGAAGAACACTTACAGCTACAGGGGAAGAGATAAACAGCTGTGAATGTCCATGCTTTTGCCCTGAGGCTTCTCATCTTCTCCGCTGAAGCACCTGGGGATGTGCCTGGGAAGAAGAACAACAGAGATATCAACCTTCCTGAGAGAACAGATGATTTCTATGGCTTGTTGAAGGTGAATGGAGGGCGATGCGATCAGCATCACATTTCTCTCATTTTCAGCAAATATTGACAGTTCATAATTTCAACTTGGTCTGTAAAATCGGATCCTGAGGATTGAAATCTCATTCATAGGATCTGCAGTGTAGTCATGATTCTTTTTAAATTTCTCATTTAAGCTGTTGGAGTCTTCCCTCTCTCTCTCTCTCTCTCTCTCTCTCTCTCTCTCTCTCTCTCTCTCTGCACCTTTCTTTTCCTTTCCCACGCCCAAGTCTCTCATGTAATCTCATGCAATCTCATGTAATCCTCTTCTCCTCTCTGCTGACTTGGGTTCTCTTTGAGTTCGCAGGTTTGGGGAAACGCTTACGCACTGCTGCAACTAAGCATGTTCGCCTCTCAGATGAGAGAGAGAGAGAGAGAGAGAGAGAGAGAGAGAGAGAGAGAGAGAGAGAGAGAGGGGTCTCTTCGGCGACCCACCCGGAAGGTTTGCTTATTAAAGGACAAGGCGACAGCCTCTCATTTTGTATTACTTCCAGTCAATTAAAGCCAAGAATGGGAAAAAAAATTATTATGAACACCCGCATCATGTTATCTCATGGTCAATGCAGATGGTAATCTATTTATTCCGAAATATTATCTCATATTTTCTGGATAATTCATATCATTTGACTGGTTCTGAAAATTAAATATTTTTCGTCTGGTAATAATCAAACATAAATTGATAAAAAATGTAGAATCCGTCGTTCGGGCACAGGATTTAATAATAATTATGGGATGAGAAAAATACCCATCGACACCTGAGGTTGAATAAAATATTCAATTATCACTTAAATGAAAATACTATTTAAATTTAAGTAAATGAACGCCGTCCCTTTTTTTCGAATCCCACTTGAAAATCTGCGGTCAGTGAAGTGGGCCACTTGCCCCGCCTCCGATGGCCGGCTGGCCCCACTGGTCCGGCTTGCTCGAGCCGGCCGGTTCAAATCCGGCCGAAGGTAGGTACCAGCGAATGCGGACTGGGTTACGTTAACGAAGATCCGAGCGTTCGATCAGCTGATTTTGACCGTCGGATTCGAAGACGGATTGTGGACGGAAGCATCCTTAATTTTTCTAGTTAGTGAGAAAATAACCGACTAAAAAAATAATAAATTGATATTTTTAATAAGATCCAGCTGTGTTTGCGGCATGACTTGGTCTTCTCACGTAGCCGGTTGATATAAGACAAAAAATCTGGATCACAAAAAATGCAGGAATTTCTCCCTCTAGAAGCGTTGACCCTTAACAACGAGGAAACGATAGTCAGCCAAGGCATTGCTACTTGTGGAACGGGGGGGCGTGACAGAAAAAAATAGACGGGGTAGGAAGCATCTTTCTCTCTCTCTCTCTCTCTCTCTCTCTCTCTCTTCTCTTCCCTCTTCTCTATCTCTCTCTCGCTCTAAGGTTTGAGCTTTTTTAGAACGATGAGGTCAGCGTGAACAAGAGCACGAGTAATGATGTTTATCATGTTAGATGACGATCGTATGAACCGGAAAAGCCCCGGGCGTGCACAAAGTTTCCATCTTTTTTTCTAATATTTCAGAGACCTGCGCGTCTGTCCCTACCAGCATCATCTCCTAACAGCAGCTCCAAATAATCTAATCTTGAAAGCAAACTCACTCGATCTCTCTCTCTCTCTCTAAAGTTTGACTTCAATTAGCACGTCTCCGTTTCTTGGACATTTCTGGTCTCCCCTGTATTGGCTGGGATTGTGATTTTGTCTTGGTGAGCTGGTGGGAGCGGCGGAGTTGTTTATGCATGCCTGCGACTGATTTCCTCGTCCATCTCCTGAAACAGGACGGAGGAGGAAGGTGAGGTGGGGGTTGCTGGAGGAGAGAGATATGCCCGCATATCATCATCTTCCTCCTTTCTTCTTCACCAATGGTACCCCACCGCTTCTGAGCTTCTTCTAGGATCATGGTGGCGATGACGGAGGAGGAGAAGAAGTCATCGGCCTGCGGCCTGACGATCCTCTGCAACAGCGTCTTCCGCCGGCAATCCCACTCCGATGCAGATTGCTCCAATTCGAAGCGCCGCCATCAGAAGGACCACCGGAAGCCGCCGGAGTTGCAGGCGCCGCCCCCGCGGGACGCTGCCGGCATCACCGGCAAGCTAGACGTCGTCCTCTATGACCACCAGCGAGCTCAAGGGAGCGGAACCCCCCTCAGGGCCTCCCCCAGCAACGTGATTCTCGTCGGAAACCTAGGGAATCTCCGGAGAGGCAACACGCCGCCGCCGTCTCCCCCCGCCGGAAAGATGCTCCGCCATCTCCCCAAGCCGGTGAAAACCCCCGACGAGCTCAAGGACATGGGCAACGAGGAGTACAGGAAGGGGAAGTTTGTGGAGGCGCTGGCTCTGTACGACCGGGCGATTCTGATCTCCCCGGAGACGGCGGCGTACTGGAGTAACAAGGCGGCGGCGCTGACGGAGCTCGGCCGGTTCCTGGAGGCGGCGAACGTCTGCAGGGAGGCGGTGAGGATCGAGCCTGGGTTTTGTAGAGCTCATCATCGGCTTGCCAAGCTCTACATCCGGTGAGCACCACAAAGGGAAGAGAGAATTAGACTGGGATCTTCCCTTCTGTTCATCCCTGGTTCCTGTTCTTCTTCTGAACTTAAACAGAGTTCTCCCTCGATCTTCACCAAATCATGGAGATAAACCGAGAAGCCCAGATGGATCACTGAGCATATTTCTTGGCTTTCTTCTTCCCCCTCCCTCTCGAGTTGAAGAAATTATGGATATTTACAGGTTGGGGGAAGCTGGGAAGGCGCTGCACCATTACGGGGCAGCAGGAAGTGAAGCCAGCTTTGGTGAGGTCTCACAGGCGAAGAACCTCCAAAGCCACATCGACAGAAGCAGCGAGGCACGAAAGCGACGAGACTGGCGGACTGTATTAAAGGAAGTTCAATACGCCATATCAGCCGGAGCCGACTCAGCTCCTCAGGTCTTCTTCCCCTGTAAATCTTCCTCCTCATCGTCTTCTTCTTCTTCTTTGGATGAAGCGATTGTGATGTATCTGGAAGGTGTTTGCTTCACAAGCGGAGGCGCTGCTGAAGCTCCAGAGGCACCAAGAGGCCAACGCCGCCTTCATCAATGTGCCCGCCTTTGACGTCGATGCTTCCACAATGTTCTTCGGGCCCCCCGCTACCGCTTACTTCCTTTCAGTGCGAGCACAGGTTCACATGGCTATCGGGAGGTCAGCTGCTAACCCCCATATTAGCACAAGATTTCTGCTTTGTAATCCGAGAGCCTTGGTCACCGAATTTCCCACAATGAGCAAGCGGAGGCTCTGAATTTTTCCTCATATCCTACTTATCTCGGCAGAATTTCTTGACCCATTGCTGTTCTAGCGCGCCTCTGACCTCTGATGCAATTCATATCCTATTTTCTGAGAACGCGTGGTCTTGGAGGGTAGAAGACTCGGCCAAGTCCAATGGGAGTTTGGGTCTTCTCATTCAATTACTGTTCCACGACATATCTCTTCAAACCCACCTGCTTTTTCCAATCTTTCATGCATAACAGCTTGTCGATTCTATTGAATCATGGAACGCATGTTGCTTTGGGAAGCCGAACGTCCTACCCACTGAAATTTCTTCCATCGGCTCCGCAGAAAGTTGTGATTCTCTTCCAGGTTCCGCTTATTCAGACAGAAAATCTTGATCCATCCATTCTTGGCCTTTTTCTCCTCTCTATCGTTGAACTCTCTCCACACAAATTTTCCCGATATTGAGTCTTGATTCGATCAAATATGGGTTTCTTCAAGGTTCGACGAGGCGCTCTCGACAGCTCAGAGGGCCGTTCGGGTAGACTCGGGCAGCGAGGAGGCGGCGGCGGTGGCCCGGAGGACCCGAGCGGCGGCGTTGTCAAGGTCCAGAGGCAACGAGCTCTTCAAGGTCCTGCGGTTCGCAGACGCCTGCGCCGCCTACGGCGAGGGCCTCCAGCAGGAGCCCCTCAATTCTGTCCTCCTCTGCAACCGCGCCGCCGCCCTGTGCAAGCTCAAGAGGTGGGAGGAAGCCGTCGAGGACTGCACCATGGCCCTCTTGGTGCGGCCGCCGTACCACAAGGCCCGCCTGAGGAGGGCCCAGTGCTATGCCAAGGTGGAGACTTTGCCTTTTATCAGCAATGGGTTCCAATTTGGGAAATCAAATTTGGAGACTTCTGGCAGATGGAGCGGTGGCGAGCTGCCGTGGAGGACTACGAGATCTTGGCCCGGGAGATGGCGGGGGACGAGGCGATGGAGAGCGCCCTCTTGGAGGCCCGGCGCCGCCTCGAGCAGGGAAGAGACGGGGAGAGTGGCGGCGTTGGGTCTGGAGGCAATGTGGTTATCATCAGGACAAAGGATCAGTTCGATCGCCTTGTAGCATCTTCCGGTATCTTTCTTCCGCATTCCCCCAGGCTTGGATGACTACATTCCTCACAACTCATCGATTCCATGATTTTATGTGACGATTTATTGAGCATATACACCAATTCCATCATGTTAGATGATGATTATTTAGCATGTTAGGAGCCGAAAAAACTATACTCTGCTCTGCCTCTTCATGGTAGGAACATGCGTGGCCTTTTTCTGCAACAAATCTGAAGGCTCCGACCACATCTGGTTCTCTGCGGAGGAACTATGGAGGAAATATCCAACAGTTAATTTCCTCAAGGTCTGGTTCTAGTCATCTTCTTCATCTAATTTCTGAGCCAAATCGAGATAAATCCTCAAGCAACCATTTTTTCTCCCCTTCCTGATTCTCGCAGGTGGACAGGGAAGACAACCCATATTTAGTAAAGCCCGAAGAACAGAGCTCGGTGCCCTCCTTTAAGATGTACAAGAACGGGTCAAAAATAGAGGAGCTCTCTCGGTCCGACTTCCACCTGCTGGAGGGCTCCCTGAGGGTTCACAGCATCTAGAGAACTCGGCGACGAAGAAACCAGGTGAAGAACTGATCGAGGTCTCTCCAGGGGCGGGGTACGGTGAGGGATTTATCCGAAGCTCATAAAATCTCTGAAATATTCTTTTTTTTTTCTTTCTGCGTTCACAGAGGGGAAGAACAGGGAAGAGGGCATATTAATGTTGATATTTTGGAGCGAAATTTCTGTAATTATTCTTGTTCATGTTGCTCCTCATTTAAAAATAGAAAAATGAATTTCATTGGGTCTTCTGAAGAATTGCCTGATTAATTCACGTTAATTATGATTTTTTTTAATTAAAACTTGGAATTTCGAATGAGCTCAATTCCTATTAATTGAAATCATTTATCTATATTTAATAGTTGATAAGTTAAACCATATATTACCGTATATTTACAAGAAAAAAGCGCGTCACATTTATTTTTCATAAAAATCACAGGTTTTAGTTATATCCATCGAACTGATATTGAATGAGAGATCGATCGAATGAAGCGGCTTGGATTCGTTGACCCGGGATTCTCCTGAGGATTTCTCGCAGATCTCATGGATAAAACCCATTTAGAAAGAAAAAAAAATGGATTTTTCTTTCTTTCTTTCTTTGCTTGCATCTCGAAGATATGAACACGGAAACCGTCTTCTCTGTCAAATGGAGTAGGCTTACGTCCAAGATCACAAACGAAGACATGAGGGAGGAGCGGTGGGACGTGCAACTGTAAGCCTCCTCCGTCATCGTTTCCAGCTCCGGCTCCTGGCCAGGTCGAAGCTTCCGACCACCCACGTCTCCTTGGCAATGTCCGACGACACCTCGAGGAAGTTAGTGGCTTGCCGCTTCATCACAACCCTCTTCTTCTCCCCCTTCGCTTCCTTCCTCGTTGCATCCCAGGCGGCGGCTCCTCTTCCTCCCTGCGCCCGCCTGCTCCCCGGCGTCGATCGGCACCTCGTCAGAAGGAGAGCATTAGGTGGCGGCGCCGCCGCCGGAGGAGATGCTGTACCTGCGCAGTCTCTCTCTTCGTCATCATCATCATCTTCCTTTTCTTCTACGTCAAAGATGTTCTTGTCACGGCTGTGGTGATTCTGGCTCTCCTCCAGAACCATAAACCATTTGGAGAAGGCTGTCTGGGTTGCACCGCTGCGCTCCCCTTCTCCGTCATCGCCGTCGTCCTCTTCTTCTTCTTCTTCTTCTGCGGAGGTGCTGCTATCGTCTGCGGGGCGCCGTAAGGACCCAAAACAGCCCAAGCGGAAGCGGAATCCCCGGAAGGCGTTGAAGAGGAAAAAGGCCTCCGTCCACTGGGGCCACCGACGGGCCTTCCCATGCCGCCGCCGGCCGTGAGTCTTCTCCACCTCATCCATGACCGCCTGCCAGCTTCTGCCGCGGCTATCGGCAGTGGGCTTTGGGCGTGATACTTTGATCTGACCGGAGCAGGTGACTTTGGGCGAGCTGGGCTCCTCAGAGATCGTCTCACCGGCCGCGTTCATCATCGCGTTGCTGTCATTGGTCCTGAACATCGGGCTTCCCCGGCCGCGGCTGGCGGAGCGGAGCTGGTGGCGCTTCTGCGCCTCCGAAGAGCGCGAAGGGCTGCAGATGGGCTTCGGCGTCAGGGCCAGCCGACCTCGCGACGGCAAGCACACAAGGAGGTCCGCAGAAACTCCTCCATTCCCTCCTCTCCTCTTCATGCCTCCCTCCTTCTCTCTCTCTCTCTCCTCTCTCTCTCAACACCCTCTCTCTTCTGGTTGCTCCTCGTGATGTAATGGGTTTGTGGGCGGGAGGGGAAGAGGGGAAGAGGGAGAGGAAGATGGGTTTGTTCAAAAGGGAGGAGCTTGCCAGCTCTCCTCTCTTTTCTCCGCCATTTGTTTTCCCTTCTCTCCCCCTTCCTTCCCACTCATTCCCTCCATTGACGACGAGTAGGCTTTCAGTGCCCCACGGGCATCAGCTTTGTAGGCCTCCCTTTCCAACGGCCCAAATAAAATACCTCAAAGCGACTCCATCATGGTCCCTGACGCCGTCATTGACTATACACGTGTCGAAGGATCAGATAAGCCCAAAGCCCGATTTATATGCGGGCCGGGCCGGGCCTGGCCGGAACGAAATCCCTTGAGCCCATTTTTAATGGAAAGTGAGCCACACTAAAAGGGCATATTCCTTAATCAATCTCCCTTAGTATCAATTTCTTGGCCTTAACTATGATCTAATGCTTTATGACTGAAGAAGGCGGCCGTTTTATGTTCTGATGCATCTCACTTAGGAAATTCTATACAATATTACCTTTAAGACAATCTTTTACATTTAAAATAGCGATTAAAATAATTTAATTACATAAATAACCCTTTGCCGCTCATACTACTCTCTCTCTCTCTCTACATGGGGGGGTCTTTGTGTGATTTACAGAGGCTTGATTGCTGAGATGAGCTGGTCAGAGGGCTTCTCCTGATGCTTGGAACTTTAAAGGTGCACTCGATGATGACAAGCCACCCACTACCATTTTAGTAAGAAAATTCCTTCGGCGGCGCCTAATTGTAAAGAGGGGGGGGAGAGAGAGAGAGAGAGAGAGAGAGGTGAAGGGTGTTGATGGGCTTCCCCCTTTTTGCATCCCCTTTGGGAAAGAATGTAGGACCATATATGCGTGTGTAATCGGGCAGGGGGGAAGTGGACTCGCTCAGCTTGGTGGACTGGTAGCATCCGACTAATACATGACAATATCCCTAATCACAAGATGGTCAAGCAGTCTGCTCCAATGATAAGGGCATTTCCGAGAATTCACTATATGAGGGAGACGAGGGGATGTGTGCACCGTGGATGGGATTGATGGGAATTCAACATGTTGGAGCCAGTGACCAATGGGGAACTGCCACCTGCACGGAACGTATCCTCCCAAAATATAACCGATTATTACTCAGATATATCAAAAAAAGGCAAGTATCTTAAAATTCCAACATGATCATAACTAGTATGGTGAGATATGATGATTTACTCGGGGTATATTTTCAAGCTAATTTCTTCCTATAAATTAGGATGAGAGCAAAGAATATATAATAACTTTTTCAAGGACAGAAAGCGAATGTCGCACGAAGAAGCCCACTGGGCGTGGGAATCCCACCTTCTCGGTCAACGCTTGATAATCCCTACAAGCAACCATACAATGAAATGGGCTTTTATCTGTAGGGAGACAGAATGGGGTCAGAATTCAGCTAGGATGTGATTCCTCCAGCTTTATTTGGAATAAAGTGGCCATGGAGGTCCTACCATGAGTATGCTGTTGTTGATAATACTAAAGAAATGGAGCAATAACAACAGAAGATGAGATGATGATGATGATGATGATGATGATGATGATGACGACGACGATGATGATGATGATGATATGAACACTAGAGAGAGCAAACTATAGCCATGTTAGTTTATCTTTGAGGTTTCCATGAAAAGCATATAAGGTTAGCCGGAGCCAAGACCCAGGAGGCCGCTAGACAGCCACTAGACACTCCAGGATGGCTGGCAAGCTGTCAACCCATAATAGGAATCTCAAAGTCTTCCCTTATGAAGACATCTGAGAGCTTCAATCTTAGATCCTCAAGCTCAGCACATTCACTTTCTTCGGGGGTCAACCACGAGGCCAGGGAAAGTTTGACGATCTCTCCAGGGCTCATCATGGCCATCTTGGCCTTGTAATTTGCATCGCCAAATCCCCACAGTCTTTCAAGATTTGCACAGGAAGGTTCTTCGGCATAGCTTCTGAAAGCATCTTTAATGGCATCGAGCCAGATGGGGCGAGCCAGCTTCAGGAACTTGTGCGTGGCCACGGCCGGGAGATTGGCACCCCCGAGATCAGTTTCCAGCTGGGTCCGTCTCCCATGGTAATCTGATCCGCCAATCTTCAAGAGCCCCTGAGCATCTGCTAAGTCACTGAACACTGCCGAAGAATTTGCCTGTAATTAGCACTGAAAAGAAAAAAAATAAAACGAAGTGGGAGTCTCTTCAAGGGAGGAGCAGCACCTGCCAACTTTCCATCCCCTCTGTAAACCTCCATGGCGTGAAGACCAGCAGCCTTGAGGCTCCTGATAACAGAAACAGGGTTCTTTAAAGCCCACGGGTGAGCTAGAGCCGCAACGCCCCCTGTGCAGCAAATCAACTTCACAACTTCTTCTGCTAGCGGCTCACTGCCGCTGCATCCAATCAACAGCAGAATTGCACGTTACAGCATAGATTTTCCTTAGAAACCATAAGAAAGGACCCTCGGTTAGCAGCATCTGTGTTCTTACGTTGCGTATGCTGGCCCGCCATCATAGAGATACCGGCTGAAAGCCTGCTTCAGGTCCTCTACATAGCCAGCTTCAACCATGGCACGGGCAACATGGAGCCTCCCCGGTGCTACGCCATCGCCAGCTATCTTAATGAGATGCTCCCACTTTAGTGGCATTTTGAGTTCTCTCAGTTTCAACAGCATATTCCTCGCCCGAACATAACGGCCAGCCCTGATACTGGACAGAGTCCTCTCCAGTTCCTCGCATCGAGAGGGACCACAACTGCTGTAATATGCTAGGACATGAACGGGCTCCTCAGCTCCAGAACTTTCCCGTCCAAATGCCCATGTTTCAAACAGTGAACAAGATGGACGACGGTTCATGTCTTTGTGATTAGAAGAGCATAAGCTCTTATGAAAGAATTTTTTTAGTAGTGGATCATTCATGCAACCAGAAGAGATTCAAAGGGTACCTGGCTGAGAAGATAGAGCTTATTTCAACTCCCGGTATTAGTCTGATACCAAGCTTTCGCGCCATTGCTGAGGCCTCAGGTACTCCGTCCATGGTGTCATGGTCTGTTAAAGCGAGTACCTTCACCTGCACAAGCGCATGGCATATGGATTGTCACATTCCCCATCCCCATCTAACCCATAAATGAGCAGAAGAATTAACAGTATTGACAGAGAGTGAAAGAATACGATCATCAAACTCAAGATCAACCGCCAATAAGTAGGATCAAGTAACTTTCTGCCATAGGTTTTAGGTTTCAATATTCCATGTGAGACTATTCTAGCAAGCTTCATCACATGTAGGACGATATCTTGATGCATCTACCACATGAATAACAGGACTGGAAGACACACTTGGGATGAAATCTAGTTCTAAAGCCAGTGTAGGCGTCAGATCATTCAACTAAAAATGAGCTAGATATGAGTGGGAACTGTGCCCATAACATGCATAAAATACACTCATAAGCATGGCATAAACAATGTCCAAGGGATTTCGCGTTATCTTCAGAAACAAACTACGAAGAATTCGTGATATCTCTGCGTGGGCTAGAGAGATACTTGCCCTGGGTCCATGCTCATTTCCATGAAATCACCGTCTTAACAAGGAACAGGGATCCTACATTCAACCTTATGTGACTTTCGCTCATAATAGGTATGTCAAATAAAGAAGAGATTCTTTCTTTGATGACACCTTGGGTCAGTGAATCCATGAAAGAATGAAAGATACGGCCTGATTTTGAAGATTATTTAAGGATCATCAGTGTCCCACTATGCCAGGGAAGGGGGGGAAATTAAAAAGAACCGTACTTCCTAGTGTCCTGTACAAGATATCCACGGGATCTTCCTCCAACCAACTCCTCCCTCTCCATTATGAGGTGATGGAAACTGGCTTTGAACGAGTCACAGAAGAATCCAATCACATGCGTCCCTGACATACCTCTTTGAAAGAAGGAAGAGAGTTCGGATTTGTGAAGGTGGATGTGTGCAAGCATACTGGAAATCTAAAAAGGAGTTGTTCAGCCAGGGCACATCCGCCTGCAGATGTTGAAGCCCCTAAAATTTTAATGGCATGATTATTCAGAAGAGAGGAACTCGCTAAAGTGGAAACCCTCAGATTCATCCCATGGCTTCACAGACAATCTCTGTGAAACCAGCACATTCATCGAACCTGTGGAGAGAAATACACATAAAAATAAAAATGACAAGCGAAGGAAAGGGAGAACATGACCAGTCGGAAGTAAAATGGTCAAACTGCGCGCCACAGACATGAATCGCCAGGGGGAAGGTCGGAATTTATCAGAGGGGGGAGCGTCTTTCTACCCAGGACTCACCCCGTTCCGATGGGCGCGCTCCACGACGGCCTTAGGGGAAAGGTAACCATCGCTGCAGTTGGAGTGACAGTGGAGCTCGAACAGCATCCTCTCATCCCGCGGCGCCACAGCCCTGGGCTGAGGCAGGAAGTCTCCGTCGCCACAGTCGGGGGGGAACGCCCAGTCAAGGATATACTTGGAGGCCAAAGCTTGCTCAGACGTCATCTTCCTCTTGCTCCTCTTCTTGTTTCTCGCCTTTTTCCCTCCGCCATCCCCCGCCATCGCCACCGGAACTCCACCACACTACGCAGAGAGAGAGAGAGAGAGAGGGGTAATTTGATATTCATGAATATTATTTCGTCAGATATAAACTTTTAAATTTATTATTCATGAATATTATTTCATCCTTAAGCGCCTAAGAGGGCCTGAACCCGCTTCAATGGTGGCGATCAAACCAGATAATCAGACGGCTCTGATTTTCGTAGTGAGGTAAAGCCATATTTACTATTTTACCCTTTCCATTTCTAGCGATCGTTAGAAGTCATGTCACGTTTTGGTAAATAACTTAAATATTCCCATATGTCGGCGTAAATAGGGGGTATTTCCGTCATAATGACAGTATAAATACCGACTGCTCTAGGGTTAAGATTTTCTCAGTTGTTAGCGTGGCGGCGAAGTCGTCTCCCTAGTCTCTGTTGCTTCCTGCTATCTCGGGGGGGTGAGATGAATCTTCTCTTATTTATTACCTCACCGAGGTTATTCTTAATTATCTACGCCTCTTGTTCTGCTTCTTTTCTGGTTGAGGCTCTAGTAGCATGATTCTGTAGCGCTTTGCATGGGTCGGAGTAGCCGTAGGGACTGTGGGCGGTTTGGCATTTGATTTTTATTTGCTAAAAGCTTGTCCCGATTGGCTGTTTGCGATCCGAGAGCGAGAGTACGTTGATTTAACGAGTTTATGATCTTTTTGGTTTGTGATGAAACTTTTTAATACTAGGAATATGTTTCGGTCTGGCTTTTATTTTTGTTTTTCTGTCTGACGGTTGTAATGAATCTGTCAGGACGATGAGGATGCTATTTGGTCCGTGTTTCTGATGTAACATGACTGATCCATTTTAACCAAACTCTGACTCTGTGCAGATCGAAATCTGTTTGCGACCAGAGAGTACGCTGATTTAAGTTTTGAGTTACGAGTTTCTGCTCCTTTCGGTTGGTTGTGAGACTTCTGATATCGTGATTATGTTTCGATGTTGCTTTTATTTACTTATTTATTTATTTTCTGATGCATGCAATGAGTCTGCCAGAGGATGAGGATGCAATTTGGTCCGTGTTTCTGATGTCACCTGACTGATCCATTTTAACCAAACTCTGACTCTGCAGATGAAATCTGTTTGCTACCCGAAAGTACGTTGATTTAAGTTTTTGGTTACGAGTTTATGATCTTTTCGGTTTTTTGTGGGACTTTTGATACCAGGGCTATTTTTCGGTGTTACTTTTATTTTTGTTTTTCCTATCTGAGGCTTGTAATGAATCTGTCAGAGGGATGAGGATGCAATTTGGTCCGTGTTTCTGATGTCACATGACTGATCCATTTTAACCAAACTCTGAATCTGCAGATGAAATCTGTTTGCAACACGAGAGTACGTTGGTTTAAGTTTTTGGTTACGAGTTTCTGCTCCTTTTGGTTTGTGGTGAAACTTTTAACATCGCGACTACGTTTTGGTGATGCTTTTATCTTTGTTTTTTTCCTTTTTGGGGCTTGCGATGACTCTGTCAGAGGGATGAGGATGCAATTTGGTCCGTGTTTCTGATGTCACATGACTGATCCATTTTAACCAAACTCTGACTCTGCAGATGAAATCTGTTTGCAACACGAGAGTACGTTGGTTTAAGTTTTTGGTTACGAGTTTCTGCTCCTTTTGGTTTGTGGTGAGACTTTTAATATCGGGACTATGTTTCGGTGATGCTTTTATCTTTGTTTTTTTCCTTTCTGTGGCTTGCAATGACTCTGTCAGAGGGATGAGGATGCTATTTGGTCCGTGTTTCTGATGTCACATGACTGATCCATTATAACCAAACTCTGACCCTGCAGATCGAAATCTGTTTGCAACCCAAGAGTACCTTGATTGAGTTTTTGGTTACTAGTTTCTGCTCCTTTTGGTTTTATGGTGAGGCTTTTAATATAGTGACTATGTTTTGGTGTGGCAATGAATCTATCAGAGGGATGAGGATGCAATTTGGTCCGTGTTTCTGATGTCACATGACTGATCCATTTTAACCAAACTCTGACTCTGCAGATCCAAATCTATTTATCGAATAATCTCGCTGTCGGAGTGATTCCGGTTTGCTGTGGTCCAACATATTTTTCGGTTGTTATGTTGCTTATCTTGCGTTTGATGTTCGTACGAATGGCTATTGAGGATTGACGACATTGGTTTACTAGGCATATTCCATTCATTCGATTTCTTCTCTGTATCATAGTATTATTGAGATCACTTTGATACAGGGTTCTGCGCCGCTCTTCCTTAGAAGTTCTTCTACATGCTTATCCATATACCTCTGCATGCTTTTGATCGGAAAACAGACTGGCCGACGATGACTAACCCAGGCTTGTTTCTCAAAACATTCGCAGTGGCCGCCTAAGAACTTTTCCCTTTCGCCGGGCTTGAGAGTTACTGCTGATCACTATCCTTCCTTGGATGTCTGAGGCCTTAATCTCTACACATTTCGCCATGTGATTACATCTTGCATGACAATGATCACAACCTCTTACGAGGATACTCAGTGATCATTGCCTCATCCTAACATCTTCTCGATCCACGCTACAAATTTCCTGGACCATTATTTCTTTGTTATTTCTGGAACTTCATTCAATCGATGGATAAATCAGTTAATCTGATATTGCCTTTTTGACATCCATAAATCTTCAGCTAAAGTAATCCGAGATGGGGAAGGAGAAGGTGCACATCAACATTGTGGTCATTGGTCATGTTGACTCCGGAAAGTCAACCACCACGGGGCATCTGATCTACAAGCTCGGCGGCATCGACAAGCGTGTGATTGAGAGATTCGAGAAAGAAGCCGCTGAAATGAACAAGAGGTCGTTCAAGTACGCCTGGGTACTCGACAAGCTCAAGGCCGAGCGCGAGCGTGGCATCACCATCGACATTGCCCTCTGGAAGTTCGAGACCACGAAATACTACTGCACCGTCATCGACGCCCCCGGGCATCGCGACTTCATCAAGAACATGATCACCGGAACTTCTCAGGCGGATTGTGCAGTCCTCATCATCGACTCCACTACCGGCGGCTTCGAAGCTGGCATCTCCAAGGACGGTCAGACCCGCGAGCATGCCCTCCTCGCCTTCACTCTCGGCGTCAGGCAGATGATCTGCTGCTGCAACAAGGTAACACACTCCTATCCTCTCCCCCTTTAAACACGACCTTTGTTTCATTGATTCATTCTTTCTTTCTTTCTGCCTGAGAAGATGGACGCGACGACGCCCAAGTACTCAAAGGCGAGGTACGACGAGATCGTGAAGGAGGTCTCCTCCTACCTGAAGAAGGTGGGCTACAACCCGGAGAAGATCCCCTTCGTCCCAATCTCCGGCTTCGAGGGCGACAACATGATCCAGAGGTCTACCAACCTGGACTGGTACAAAGGCCCCACCCTCCTGGACGCCCTGGACATGATCCAAGAACCCAAGCGCCCCTCGGACAAGCCCCTCCGCCTTCCCCTGCAAGACGTCTACAAGATCGGCGGCATCGGCACAGTCCCCGTGGGCCGCGTCGAGACGGGCGTGCTCAAACCCGGCATGGTCGTCACCTTCGGCCCCACCGGCCTCACCACCGAAGTCAAGTCCGTGGAGATGCACCACGAGGCCCTCCAAGAAGCCCTCCCAGGCGACAACGTGGGCTTCAACGTGAAGAACATCGCCGTGAAGGACCTGAAGCGAGGGTACGTGGCCTCCAACTCCAAGGACGACCCGGCCAAGGAAGCGGCCAACTTCACCGCCCAGGTGATCATCATGAACCACCCGGGGCAGATCAGCAACGGCTACACGCCAGTGCTTGACTGCCACACCTCCCACATCGCCGTCAAGTTCGCGGAGATCCTCACCAAGATCGACCGCCGCTCCGGCAAGGAGCTGGAGAAGGAGCCCAAGTTCTTGAAGAACGGGGACGCTGGGTTTGTGAAGATGATCCCTTCCAAGCCCATGGTGGTGGAGACCTTCTCCGACTACCCTCCGCTGGGGCGCTTCGCCGTGCGGGACATGCGCCAGACCGTCGCCGTCGGCGTGATCAAGAGCGTCGAGAAGAAGGACCCTTCCGGCGCCAAGGTCACCAAGTCCGCCGTTAAGAAAAAGTGAACCGAGGCCCTATCCGCCTCGCCAAGGTCCTCTCTCTGTCCCTTTCTCTCCTTCATCCCTTGCAGCGTTTGGTCGCAGAACTGGGTCTTAGACAGGCGGTGGCGGAGGGAACTCGAGTCTTAGTCGTTTTGAGGCAGGTAGCCTTCCCCATCTCCAGAGGGATATCTAGTTTGTCGGAAATAAAGTAATAAAAAACCCCTGTACATCGTTTTATCCGGGGTTTTATCTCCAATCGTCGGACTCATACTCTTCCATCGATGCGGAGATTTATATCATCCTGATTATGTAAATAAATGATTTTTCTTGTTTGGTACAACAACATGCTTAGGCCATCTATGGATGGGCACCTGATCTAGTTAGTAAGATCGGAGCCCATCTGCGGAGGAGCAGACCCATGCGACATATTTATACTTTTTTTGATCCATCAGAACATAGTTTTAAATTTATCAATGCCAATTTATTAAAATGTCAACGGAGGCCAAAAATATTGGTCTAGAATATTAAATGTAAGATCAACGCGTAGGTTTTCACATTAATTTATGAGATATACTCACAAGGACATTATCAGTATACCATGTTTGTATATGCTGCATGCTTTCTTTTTTTCTCACTCAAGTTTTTGCAAAGACTTAGAGAGAGAAACTCTTTTGATCTTCCCGCAATATACAACACAATTCAGGCAAAAATTCCAGCCCAAGGCGCCGGGGATATTTCCAGGAAAATCTACCACTTACGATCCTGAATAACAAAGTACATTAAAATTACTATATCAAGCCACAAACCTCGTCCTGCCATTAACATATGCAGCTCCAGCTGCCTCACTAGCCTGCTTAATATCCTCGTAGATCTTCTTCGATTCTTCGGCAAATTTTGTGAGCAAGTCAAAGATTCTGGTCAATCTTGGCTGGAGAAAACCCAAGCTTGGGATCTCCTTCTTGGGAATCTCGGCTTCCCCAGTTCTTGATCGCCTCGGTTTCGAAGTGGGTCGGATCTCTTCAGCCTGTTGGTCGATGAACCCGTTAGAATCTGAAATCAGGGTGTCGATGGCGTCGGAGACCTCCTTAAGCGGCAAAGATATGATTGCGGCCAGCCAGTCTCGGCAGAGGACGAAGATGGGCGGTGCCAGGGCCCGGCGGGGGGAGAACACAGCAGGCCTTCTCCCTCTGAAGCGCTGTTGGGGTGGCAGGATGGAACTCTGAAGCCAGCCGTTGAGCGCTCCCACATAGGCCTCTTGGGCGTTGACCCACTTCTCCAAGCTGGATTTGAAGAAGTTGACCTCACTCAGAAGATGGGTCAGAGCGCTCCTGTAGGGTTCAGATTCTGACGAAGCATTTGAATTCTTCAGAGGGTGGTCCGACGAGATCTTGCAGTGCTGAGAGCGATGGCACTCCAACATTGAATTCCACATCCTGCTCGACCTGGAGAGAGATGGGAAAGTTGAAGACATGATTCAAAACAATGCCCATCAGTGAATAGTTTCTCAAAATGGCAAATAGATTCACAGTTTCCCAATCTGGAGTCAGACAGGTCTATACGGCATAAATCAGAGAAATAATCCAAAATAAGGACCCACGGTAGATATCAGCAACAGTGGAAAGCAATGTCAATCGGTAAACAATCTCGGAAATGGCAATAGATTTACCATTTATCAACTTTGGAATCAGAAATAATTCAAAACAAGATCCGATAATATATCATTTCTGAAATGGTAGTGAATGGAGATGACTCAGTGGCTAGAAAAACTCAGGAATCACCCCACCCGTTGACTAACTCCAGCAGCTGCAGCTGCAGCTCTTCATCTCTCAGCTTCTCGATTCGCTTAGATATTGAATTGACAGCATGGATGGCAACCCTGACTTGAGAATGGAGATCCTTTGCCACAGCTCGAGTTCCATCAATCACTCGGGCATTGAGGCCCCTGGAAAACTCACGCTTGAGCTGGTCGCACTTCCGATCATACGCCCCTCTGATCAATTCACTGGCCTGTGGATTAAGAAAAACAAAAACAAAAAACGTAATAAGCACCAAAAAGTTTGCTCACGGATGGGAGAGCGGAGGATGACAATCATATGTTATCCCAACGTTAAAAACGACAAAAACCCTACAAAAAATGAATCAAATTGGCGAAAAACATTGAAGAAAATGGGTTGATAGTGAAAATTACGAGAGAAAAAAAACCATGCAGCAAGTGGGGAAGCTTAAATACCTCAACTTCGTCGTGAAGTTTCCTCTCCCATGCGTATAATCTCTCCAGGGTAGAGGAATGGTTCCCCGAGATCATGGAATATTCGTCGATGAAATCACTGGCATTGTCTTTGGATGCTGATCCCAGGGGATTATTCGATGATGAGGATGATGGAGATGATGTCAAGTGATTCCGTGTGATGACCCTCGGCGCATGCTGGACAGGTTCTATACACATATTTTAACTCAAGATCATTTAAATAAAATGTTTGTCTACGAATAAGGATGAAGATGCAAACTATGTTATTTATTATAGGAGGAATAACATGGGTTTTCGGACAGGAACCTACCATGGCCAAGGAGTGCGCCCTTCTTACAGCAAGCTACAGGGCAGGTTGAGAGAAGCACCGAAGGAGATGATCTTGCTGCGAGTCCCAAAAACCAGTAAGAAGCATGCGGAGAAGAAAGTATTTTCCACAGGGTAAAATACGTTGTCAAACGAGCTTAAATGTGGACCTTTCTCCTGAGAAGATCTGCTGAGCCAGACCTTGTTGACCTCCAACATCCGGGAGACCTCGCCACCATGCTCTGCAGCCTGGACGAAGAGGTGTTCTATGGCTTTCACACTTGAAAGGAAAGGTTCTGCCTTGTGGGTGCCCAATTCAGAATCATCTTTCCTTGCAGAGCCGCGATCATCACCTTGATCCAATGGTGTAGTAATACTGCATGAATTTTCTGATGATCCATTCAGATTATGCTCAACAGGTTCCACTGCATTCCCCGGGAATCTCTTCAAGCTAGGGCAATCACTGGATTTAGGGTTCTTCCCTTTTTCCGAGATCGAGGGAGCGGCAGTTCTCCTTCTGCCCTCTGAGCCATCCTTCTCCGCCCGTAAGGCACTCTGTAATGGCTGACCGTTCGCGAAGTCCCCGCCGTTTTCAGCGGGATCGAAGAAGTCCCATGACGATGAGGCCTCAGACGGCGGGGCCGCAGGACCAGGAAGAGCTCCCTGCTCAACAGGGCGATTCGTGTGGGGATCTGGCGGGTCCGCCATAGCCGCCGTAGCTGTAGCTCTCACGCAGCTCGTCATGGGTAGACTTGGGGACGGGGAGCTTCCACATTGGAACTGCGAGGGAGAAGGGGAAGCAGAAGAGGTGGGCGACGACGGTCCCATCAAAGCTTCCGCCTCTGCCAGACGACGGAGGGCCATTCCGAGGCTGCGCAGAGACTGGAGGTAGACGAGGTGGGCTGCCGACAGCGCGTACCTCCGCTCAGTCGCTTGCTTGATGAAGCGCATGCGCAGCTTGCAGAGGGCCAATCCCTCGTTCTTCTCGAGCTTGGAGGTGCCGGAGCCCATCACGCCACCTTCTACGTTCTCCGCCGCGGCGGACCCACTTTCACGGAGCGGCCATCTCCCTCTGAGCAGAGCCCTATTCTTCCTCCCCCTCACCCCACCGGAAGTCTTCTTCAACCTCCAGCGCAACAGCGAGCTGGGTATTCCATGGTGTAGAGCTTCCCCACCGTGAAAATGGAGTGGACGTCTCTGTGCCTTCAGAGCAGTGAGGTCGAGGAGTGCTACCAGAGGAGGCGGCGCGCCACCAGGAGGTGCCTTGTTCCTCTCCCTCAGGGTAGTGGAGGGGTATGTTCAGAGACTGACTGTTGGCGTAAAAGCTTTGTATATTATTATATATAATATAAATATATCTATATATTCAGAGTAAATAAAATTTCTCGAGTTAATCATTCATTCTATACAATTTAAATCAAAAAAGTATTTAGTAAAAATTATCAAAATAATTTATTATCTACTAAATTTAGAAATATACTATCTAATTCTTTGTAGAAATAAAACGGTTAATAATATTCCTTATATATTCTTCATGTATAACTTTCTAAATTTCTCTAGTTAATCATTCATGATATAACTTTGTTTTTAAAAAATATTTATTAAAAAATACGGAATTAAATTATTATCCACTAGTTGTAGTAATAGTAAGGTTACTAACGTTGCTCATATATTCTTGATGTAATAGTAGGGTACTCGCTAAATTATTTATATATTCAGAGTAAATAAAAATTCTCAAGTTAATCATTCATGCTATACCATTTTTAAAACTATTATTTATTAAAAATTAGGAAGTAGTTTATTATCTACTAAATTTAGAAATATACTATCTAATTATTTGTAGTAATAGTAGTGTTAATAATATTCCTTATATATTCTCCATTTACAGAAAGTACTCGTTAAATGATGATTTCTGGTTATGGAGCATTGTGAGTTATAATTAATAGGACATTAATGGTGATTAATGATTTTCCATAAGGACCAAATAAAATAGGATTTCGTCATGCGGCTGCTGGAGGACGAGGCCTCATGGGCCAATATGTGGAGTGGGCCTACTGACAAATGCGCAGGTTGCGCAGCCAACTGTTGATATGTCCCGAGAGAATTTATTGGGCTGACGCGATGTGGGACTCTGATTATCACAACCCAAACCTTTTTTTCCATTATTTGTATGTAAATTAAGTACACCCTCTCTTCTGTCAGAGAATCAAAGGTTTTAGTAGAGGACCATACTCTCTCTCTTCTGTCGGAGTCGAGGCTTTAGGAGTTGATGGAGGAGCAGACTCTGCGGATCTCCCCAAGGTTGCCGGTTTTCACTCCGATGTTGCTCATCTTAACCATGGAGACCCCAAACTCGACGCGGAAGGTCCCAACCAGGCCTGCAAGGAGGCCGGTGTAGCCCTGGACGAACCTCCTGGTGGAGGCGTCGGAGAAGAGGCTCTGGTCCGACTCCAGCACCCCCCTCCCTCCGCGCAAGTTGTTGAAGTAGCTCAGGTCGAAGTTCCCTTCGCTGCCGCTGTCCAGCGCCACCCGCCTGGTACCGTCGCCGTCGGCGGGGCAGAGAGTCCGCAGCTGCGTGAGGAACTCGCCGTCGATGGTCGGGTCGGGCCCACCGTCGCTGGTGAAGTTGAAGAGCCTGTACCTGAAGAACTGACACTGCGCTGTTCCCAGAGTGTGTGCCCCTGTTTCATCCCATAATTCCCGAGTCAGATTGGTCCGGTGACGCCTCTCTCTCTCTCTCTCTTGGTGAGCTTCTTTCTGAGGGTGCTTACCGACGAGAGTGACGAGGTCCTTGGTGGTGAGGCCTCTCTGAGAGAACTGGAGCTTCTGGGAGTCGACGGAGTCGGTGAAAGAGGGGAGGTCGACGTCGGAGGCGGAGGAGACGGTCCCATCTCGCCGTCCGGTTGGCACTCCCCAGCTCGGACCTCCCGTCTGCAGCCCACCAGAAAAACGGGACGAATCAGATCAGGATCAAGCCAATCAATCGATCAATGAAATCAATCTTTTGTTAAGTACCAGTGCGACGGAGTCGCGAGCGGCAAGGGCGAGGATGTCTGCGCAGGAGACGATGCCGGGGCAGGCGGCCTCGAGCTGGGTCTTGGCGTCGTCGATGACCTCGTAACCCCTAACGGAGAGGTTAGGCGGCGCCGTCTTCTCCGAGGAAGGCCCGTCGATGAGGATGGAGGCGTCGCAGCCCTGCACGAAGCAGTCGTGGAAGTGCATCCTCAGCAGGCCGGCGGCCAGGGTGCGGTCGGCGGCGAGGTGCGACCTCACGGTGGACCTGACAATGGCCTCCGCTCTAGGGCAGGTGGTGCTGTAGAAACCCACTCTGGTGCCCTGCCCCATGGCGCCGCTTGACGCTGCGAGCAGGAGAAGGAGAGAGATGGCTGAGATGAGAGGAGCCATGGGAGAGGATGCAGAGGAAGAAGGAGCTGGGAATGGTGGGGAGGGAGGTGAGGAATGGGGAGGAGGGGGAGGAGGGATTTATAGGCGACAGTGGTCAGCGAGTAAGAGAAGGCGGCTGGGTGGGTGCCATTTAGGTTAGGCCCAGTGGGGGCCTCCCGCCATGGAAGAGCTCGGCCGGGGGCGAAGAAGCTGCTCTTGGAGGGGGATGACTTCGCGGCTTCTAACAAAGTTCAGTGTGCCATCTCTATCTTCGTCTGGCTCCCACACTCTTCGTTTCACCAACTGGGTTTTGTCCGACGGAGAAGCTTCTCTTTGGACGTATGCAGTATTTTCTCGCCCGTCCCCTCCCCCGCCATGGCTTACATTTTCTACGGAGAAGTGAATATGGAGATCGAGATCGAGTCGCACAGGACAGAGCGACTGACGGACGGAACAGGGACAAAGAGGGAAGAAGAATACATTAGACGCGGAGTGGGGATGTAAGGAATGGATACATAGAGAACGAGAGAATATCGATAAACTAGGCAGATTGAGAGACGGAGAGTGGGAGAGAGAGAAGATGGATAAATTACAGACGGAGGGGGGGGGGGGAATTAAAGGAGTGAGTAATATAGATAACCAGATAATATCGATAAGTTAAGTAGAGAGAAAGATATATATATATATATAGATAGAGAGAGAGAGAGAGAGAGACTCGGTCTCAGTTTCTCAAAAAGTAGGTTTTTCCCATGCAGAGTCCCACTTCATGCACTTGCCACCTTTCTAAGCGGGTCTTCCCCGTGTGAAACGTTGATCTCACCCGGAACTTCATTGACCAGGGGCTACTCATTAAGCGCTCTCTGGTTTGTCGAAAGCGGAATTCCGCAGCTGTCATCGATCGGAATCCGATACTCCCTGGCGGCTTCCGCCGCCAAACCGCGTCAGCTCGAGCTTACCCCACGGCCCGACTCTTGTCCCACTTCGGATTTCACTTTTTCTTCATCCATCCGTCGGTCTTCCCTCAGAGACCATCCACGGGTCAGCCATCGGAGTTTTCTCTGGCCCAACATATGGCCCGTTGAAACCCCACCCGGAGATCAGGTCCTTCGCTTTTGACGCGGCAGCCATCATGTATAATCTCGCTGGGTGGGCAAAAAGTCAACGTCTCTCAAACTGTCATGTGCGGAGAAAGCTAGCCGGTTGTCATTTTTGCGGAGAGGCAAGGTGCCATCTTGGAGGCATCTCGCCGAGGAAGGATTCTCTGGTCCCTCACACCAACATGGTGCCGACATAGTTCTCTTACTGATATTTTGGCTTTATATGAGATTTTTCCAAGTGTCGATCTCCCTACCCATCCCTTCTTTCTCCGGCAAGCCTCCTCCTCCTTCCTCTGGCGGCAGACCCCACCCTCTTCCCAATAACCTTCCTGAACTTCAGGTTCTGGGCGACTTCCGAATCTGCGACAAATCCCCTCGCCGTTAAAGTCACCATAGTATAAACACTATCACGCTGTTTTGCGGCCGGTTGTACTACATTTTCGTATATATCTCATGTAAACCTATAGAGATCCATTTATCCATAAAATCCCCACGTCATCGGGATATGGATGGTCAACTCTCTCTCTCTCTTTCAATCTCTGTGTTATATTTGGAGAGACGCTGCAGTGACAGTGACACCGAGCACGAGACAGACGAGACCAACCGCGAGAGATGAACACCCTGAGGGCACCGTCACCGTCACCGTCCCAGTCGCCGGGGATTTGAGAGTCGATGGAGGCGACTCGGCAGGAGAGAACGGGCGGCGCTGTTCCACCGGCGCTGGAGATCCGAGAGTCGTCGTTGTGGGGGGCTCGGCGGGAGAGACCAGGCGGCGCGGTTCCGCCGGCGCCGGCAACGGTGACGGAGAAGAAGATACAGCAGTCTGTGGCTTCGACGGCACTATGGCAAGCAAAATATCAGGCGGAGGTGGTAACTCGGGGGGACGCAGTAATCACAGAGAGCTTCACGATGTATTATGAAGAGTTTCCATACCAGCAGGAGCCCCACCAGCGTGTGGAGAGCGTGTCGCTGAGAGATTACAAAGAATGTCGTCGTCAACATCATTCGACTGGATTATAGGGATTCAATTTGCTATCTACAATATACTTCTAAATAATAATTATGTCACGGAGAGTGCATTATCACATGCCCGCATCCATTGTACCGTTGCAGCTGGTGGAGGGGGGAACGTAGACATGGCAGGCGGCGGCGAGACGGGCGGCGCGGGAGATGTTGAGGTTGACATTCATGAAGGCCGCCTCGTGGAGGGCCTCGCAGAGGCAGGGAAGGCCGAGCTGCGCCGCCGCCAGGACGCCCTCGCAACAGGAGTCGTCGGGCTGGTCCGCCTCGCTACCAGCGCTCACGTAGCCGAGACAGTCCATCATGCCGAAGGTGACGGTGGAGCAGTCCACGCGCTTGGGCGGCGGCGCCGACCGGGTGGAAGATGACGGAGGAAAAGATGGTGCACGCCATAACGCACGCGAAGTTCGCCATCGTCATTGTCACCGGGAGCTCTGCTGCTCTTGCTCCTGCTGCTGCTGCAGCAGCTTGCTCGGAAATGGCAATAGATTTACGATTTATCAACTTTGTAATTAGAAATACATTTATTTGTGTGGTATAAAATTGAAGAAATAATGCCAAAAAAGATTTTCATCCGATAATATATAATTTCTGAAATGGGAGTAAATGGAGAGGACTCGGAGGCTAGAAAAACTTTCAGGAATCACCCAGCCGTTGACTAACTCCAGCGGTTGCAGTTTCTCGATTCGCTTAGATATTGAGTTGACGGCATGGATGGCAACCCTGATTTGAGAATGGAGATCCTTTGCCACATCTCGAGTTCCAGCAATCACTCGGGCATTGAGGCCCCTGGAAAACTCACGCTTGAGCTGGTCGCACTTCCGATCATACGCCCCTCTGATTAATTCACTGGCCTGTGGATTAAACAAAAAAAAAAAACCGTAATAAGCACCAAAAGTTTTGCTCAGGGATGGGAGAGCGGAGGATGACAATCATATGTTATCCCAACGTTAAAAACAACAAAAACCCTACAAAAAATGAATCAAATTGGCGAAAAATATTGAAGAAAATGGGTTGATAGTGAAAATTACGAGAAAAAAAAAACCATGCAGCAAGTGGGGAAGCTTAAATACCTCAACTTCGTCGTGAAGTTTCCTCTCCCATGCGTATAAACTCTCCAGGGTAGAGAATGGTTCCCAGAGATCATGAATATTCATCGAAGAAATCACTGGCACTGTTTTGGGGTGCTGATCCCAGGGGATTATTCGATGACGAGGATGATGTAAATGACGTCAAGTGATTCCGTGTGATGAACCTCGGCGCATGCTGGACAGGTTTTATACACATATTTTAACTCAAGATCATACGATGTCAACGTTCATTTATCTAAAGTTTAAATAAAATGTTTGTCTACGAATAAGGCTGAAGATGCAAACTATGTTATTTATTATAGGAGAAATAACATGGGTTTTCAGACAGGAACCTACCATGGCCAAGGAGTGCGCCCTTCTTACAGCAAGCTACAGGGCAGGTTGAGAGAAGCACCGAAGGAGATGATCTTGCTGCGAGTCCCAAAAACCAGTAAGAAGCATGCGGAGAAGAAAGTATTTTCCACAGGGTAAAATACGTGGTCAAACGAGCTTAAATGTGGACCTTTCTCCTGAGAAGATCTGCTGAGCCAGACCTTGTTGACCTCCAACATCCGAGAGACCTCGCCACCATGCTCTGCAGCCTGGACGAAGAGGTATTTGGCCTCTTCCTACTGTTGGTGAGACCCCGATGGGTCTGCTTCTATCTATTGGGCTGTCTAGTTGGGCCGTTCCGTGTCCATTTGTCTCCTGGTCGTTAGTCCTTCTTCATCACTTCCCTCTCTCTTCGAATTGGGCCCCTTCTCTTGTTCTTTGTTTTTCTCCTTAGCTTATTCACCTGCTTGGACTCCCCTTCATGTGCATGTACCCTTCACCTTATGTTGCTCACGTGTCTACTTTGAATCTTCGAACTATTTATCCGTTCTGAATCGGGATCCAGCCCTATGACTTGGGACTTTGGGCGATCACCGGTAGTCATTGGGTATCTGCACTTGACATTGTTCCTTTTCCATCCTTCTGCTGCCTTGCTTTTCGTTGTTCCCAGGTTTCCATTTGTCTCTTCTCATTTGCCACCTTCCTTTTCCCTAGTTCTCCCTTGCTCACTTTGAGCCATTGGTTGTTGTTCAGCTACCTCTCAAGCCTCAATGTCTGGTCTTGGCTAGGGTTTTCTCCACTCATAATTATATCGTACCTTCTGGAACATAGGTTGGCATGTCAGAGTTCTGCCCCTCCACCCTAGGCCATTAACTCTGTCACTGAGTTACGAAGAGAGGTTTTCGCACTTTAGTTTGAAGGCTGGGCTCAAGTGGATCTGAGAAATTAGGCAGGTTTCTCCTCACAATTTTACCTTTCTCCTCATAATACTCTTTCTTTCCTCCCTCTTTCTTTTCTTTTTTTTTCTCCTTGGGATTTTCCTTTGCTTCCCTTTCTTGTCTTTTTTTTTGGAGGGGGGCTTACCGGCTTTTGGTGCTTTCACACTACCTTCTATTGTACCGATCGATCCATCTATTTCCAGCATTTTACCCTTTCGTCCTTAGCCTCTCTATTTTCCAACGATTCTAGAGTCTTACTGACACCTAGGGTCTCGGGGCAACCTCCTTGATCCATGGCTTCCGGCCCCCAACTTCCTTCCATCCCTTTCTCTATTGTCCTTCTTGTTAGATTAGACTATGAGTGTTGTTGACCTTTTGCCCAATCAGACAACTTCTCTTGCTACATCACCGGCATGCTTGATAGATGATCCCTACGTGAGGCTGGGGTGAACTATTTATTTTCAATCTCCTATTCATCCATAACTCTTCTTGTCTTTGGCTACCTTCGGTTTTCTTTTACCTTCATTCTTTTGTTTGCTTAGTGGTAATCCTCTAAGTTGCGAGCCCCTACTTATCTAAGTTGTAGACTCCTATTCCTTTGTGTGGTAGTTCCTATATACTGTGAAATTTCATTCTCTTTTCTTGCATTATTCCATGGTTAGTTAGAAAATCTATCTTAGAATTACCTTCCATATGCTGGTGATGAATTTCTTTTATCATATTCAGATGATATAATATTTCTTTCTAGCATGATTTTAATTGTCAATATGTACTAGTATTTTAGAATTATTTCTACAATGATATTTGAGACATTGTATTATTTATAGAGTACTAGACCATCCCGTAGTGCCCGACACTCGACCACCATGGAAGTGGTCCTCCCATAAAAACCAGTGAAGGCCTCAATCAGGTTCCCCTAGAATCTCAGATGATTTCACCTCCCCCTAGCTTTACATAGGTTACCTTTAGATGCCCCATCAGTGTTGAGTTTAAGTTCCACCGCATTTGATGAAGTCTGGTTCTAGTTGAGTATGATATTTTTCCTCTAGGATCCTAATGTTTCGACTAGCTAGCAAGAGCTTCTCCTTGCTCGTTAGAGTTTTCTTGCCTTCACCATGGGCCCTAAATCCTTTGCCCATTGTAGGCATTTAAATTTGATAAGGGAGGGGTTATATACTTCCCCTTTCATTTTGCATGTATTTCGAGCAATCCATAATTCCTATAGGAGACAACACAATGTTATCTTGATTATGGTTTTACATTTTCTTTCAATGTTTCCACTTCTAAGGATTTCGTTAGTCCATAGTCTTGAGTGTGTTTGGTTCCTCATCGACAATCTCCATTTTACTTGAAACCACTTCCAGCATTCCTTCACCCACATCCCTTTATAAAATAGGTCAACATTTTCCTCTTCTAGCAACAAGCTACAACAATTACATTTGGGGCTAGCAAGAAGCCTTTTTTCCTCAAGTTCCAATTTAATGGTAGTCACCTTTGAATTAATTTCCATATAAAGAAAGAAATTCGTGTTGGGATGGCTTCATGTCATGTCAACTCCCCCCACGATTTAGAGCACTGTTTGTTCCTAGATTTTTACCATAATGATTTTCTGGAGAAATTCTCAACCGTTAAGGTCTAGATTCTATGGTCATTTCTATTTCAATTTATAACCTTTGGCTCTCAATTCCTTAGTCTCTCGCTTCGAATGCCCACCTCTTCTAGAACTCGTTGCCAATCTTTTGCCATTAATTATTTTACTGTTAATCTTGGTCGATTCGTTGTAATTATACATTTTTCCTCTAGATTTCTTACAGGTAACCAATCATCTTTACATACATTGACTTTACCTTTTTTTCAATTTTCTATTTAACTCATTTCGTATCTTCAGCCATCTCTCTTGTATTCTCTTCTAATTTGTTGGGCCTTTAATCATTTTCAAGTTTAATGCCCATTCTTTGAACTTTCCTAGCATTACAAATAATGCTAATGATCTAATTTGTTGGGCCAATTGTGAATGTTTCATTCAACATCTCATTACAAATAATTGTTCTTCTAGTGATCTAATACCCAAGCCACCCTCCAATTTTGGTAGATAGATTGATCGTCATGCTACCCAATGGTATTTATTTCCCCTTTTAGTTTTCCCCCACATGAAGTTTGTAATAATTCTTTCCATCTTCCATAGTACCCTAATGGTACATCATAAATTGCTAAGCTATTGGTGGGTATGCTGTTTAATACACTTGTAATCAATGTGATTTTTGCACCTAGTGAAATTAATCTTTCTTGTCAACCTTCCAATCTTCGCCTTATTTTTTTTATGATGTGTTCGAAGTATACTTGTTTTGTTCTGGTTTTATAAATGGAGCCTCCCAAATACAAGAATGTAAGTGAGCGTCTTCTAAATTTTGTTATATCCTGGATATAATCCACTCATGAAGTAGGTGTGTTCCTAGATATAAGATCTTTGTTTCTTAGACGGGGAAGTTGAAGTAGAAGAAATAAGTAAAGGTGTAGAGATGAGTTTACAACCATCCATATTAACTTTATGAAGTAGACTTACAATATACTTAGACTAAGAAATAATATAAAAATTTGTGATGCTATTAAACTCAATGTTTAAAAATAGTTTGCATGACCAAGATCTTTAACAAAAAAATCATGATGCTTGGAGTTAATAAGGTCACCAACACCCCTTTGATCTGAGCCAATAATTAGAATATCGTTAACATATATTGAAACAAAGAGATTGAAATTAGAGGGGTATTTGTAAAATAAAAAAAACATCAATTTTAGAACCAGAGAAACTAAATTGTAAAAGCCAATGAGTAAGGCTTGTGAACCATGCTTGTGGAGCGTGTTTTAGGCCATATAATAATTTCTTAAGATGACAAACATAATGTCTAATGAATAAAATTGGGTGAATAAAATTGAAAGGTTGGTCCATATAAGACATTTCAG